AATATGCATTTTTTGAAAATATAATTATATGCAGCTGCTGTTTTAAGGATGGACGAATTCAATATAAAATCATTAATATTTTTATAAAACACCAATTGTTATTTTTTACATACAATTTCCAAATCATATTCATTTTTATTATATTTTAAAGCTCTAAAATGTGTTTTTAAAAAAATCAAAAACAAAATAGTATTTTATTTGCGCAATTTTTTTTAAATAATCGTCTAGACCACGTGTATTTTGATTTCTTTTGTTATAAGTTTTTCTTTCAAAATATTAAATAAAATAATTTTTAACCTAAATAATAATGCACTTTTATTAATTTACTTTGTAAATATTAAAAAAAAAAATATTAACGCATTTTTTCTCTGATTTTCAAAAATGTATTTTTTGGTGATCTTATTTCATTATTTATATTTCCATTATTATAACATCCAATATATATTATGGCGAGGGCTTAAAAATAAAAAAATTAATATATATTAGTTTTTATTTTACAGACATACATGGAAACATAATTAACTTATATTCGCGAACACTAAAAACCCACCAATATTGCGAATCTAATTCTATTGGATCAAAAAATACGCTGGCTAAGCGAAATAAAGTTCTAGAGTATTCTGTTGAAATGTTTTAGGAATTGTATTATTTACAATTTGTTGGGTTTTGAGATATCTAGCATAAATTTTTTTAAGAATATATTATCAAATGAACTATTACTTTAATATTATGGCTCATTCTCGGAGCCACATCTGAAAAGCCGTAAAACTTTTAAACTATTATCATTTGTTTACAAAAATAAATGTTTTATAATATATATTTTTTAAATTGTCAAACTTTTGAAAGTTAATCACAAATTATATATTTTATTAGTATATTCTTAATTTTTATATATTTTTTTAGTGATTGGTTTAATTAATTGTTCGTTAGATTTGTAAAAAACTAACAAACAATTAATAAAATAAACTTTTAATAAAATAAGTAACTATAGTTAGCTATTTTAGTAAAATTTAATAGTAAAATTTTAAAAGAATTTCTAGAATGTTTCCAATGACGTCATGCACTAAAACTATTGAATTAAACGCGCTTGAATAAATTATCAAGTCTGTATAATGCGCCTGGAAAATCGCGTTTATTTTACATACTCAAAATACCACAGAAAATGAAGAAAACGAGCTTCGACTAAAACAACAAGATTTGTTTTTCTTGGTATACATTTATTAATTAGTTTTAATCAAAAAAAATTTGCTCAGACGTTTTTTTTTAACATTCTCTTTAATATGAACACAACATGTCTTGGGACTTGGTAGTCCCTTTAAAGGATTGTTTATGGTTGGCAAAACATTTTTTCTATTGATCTGTTTTATACACTATTCTCTTTATTTTTTTAAACTATTTTTGCATTTGAAGTGCATCAAGATGACTTTATGTCAATCTGTTTTTAAAATGTGTAAAAATTGATCCATTTAAACTAAACCGCCTTTTCAGCCTCTAGATAGACAAATAGGTAAAAGAGCCTTATAAAACTTATGAGGAGCCTATTTGCAAAATTCACTAAGTATGAGTAAACTGATTTTGAGAAAACAATGAAAAAAAGAAATTGATATTTCTTTGTCCGTTTTTAGGACCAAATATTTTTTAATTGGTCTAATATTTAAATAGATGATAGATAGCAGTATATAGAATGTGGAAATAGAATTAACTCAACCTTTTTATTTTTGTGACTGCATGTTTTGCAGATGGCCTCCATATATATATATATATATATATATATATATATATATATATATATATATATATATATATATATATATATATATATATATATATATATATATATATATATATATATATATATATATATTAAATTGTGCAATATTAATTATCAAATTATCTAAGATATGCAATCTTTTGGTCAATCTTTTTTAGCCTCAAACAAACTGAGTTTTTGAGAGTTGATTTATTGCATCCAACTTAAAAGTTGTATTTTTTGTTGCAAGTTTTTCTAATTTTTCAGCCATAGATTCAGATAGCTGATTTAATTAGATGTTAGTATTATTAGGCTTAATAATATCTTCTTTGTTTGACATCATCTTTATCTTTTTTATTTATATATTTTTTACTATAGGAAAAAGCCAAACAGTTGTTTCAATTGGTTTAAAAATTACCAATCAATTGCTAGGTTTACCAATCAAAATACCTTTTTAAATGTAAAATAAATAATCTATATAATCTTTTAAACATTGCAGATTATTTAAAAAATTTTGATAAATTAACAAGATCTTCTCTCCTCTTTGACATATTCTTTTGGTTTTGGTTTGGTTTTGGTTTGGTTTTGGTTTGGTTTTGGTTTGGTGACATATTCTTTTGGTTTTGGTTTGGTTTTGGTTTGGTGATATATTCTTTTGGTTTTGGTTTGGTTTTGGTTTGGTGACATATTCTTTTGGTTTTGGTTTGGTTTTGGTTTGGTGACATATTCTTTTGGTTTTGGTTTGGTTTTGGTTTGGTGACATATTCTTTTGGTTTTGGTTTGGTTTTGGTTTGGTGACATATTCTTTTGGTTAGAGCACTTTGCTCATATCAAAAAATAGTTTAATAATAAAATGCTCTAATTGAAAAATAGTTTAATAATAAAATGCTTTAATCAAAAAATGGTTTGCTAAATATTACTTTTGAGCATCTTAATCATAGTTTTTAATGTGTCATCAGCTGTTAATAAAATTGCTTCCTCTTACAATCTTTAGAATCAGAGACAATAGGTTTCGGATTGTTTGCTAAATTTTCAACTAATTTATGTTCATCATCAGACATAATGAGTTTTTCTGAACTGAAATTTACCATAGATTTACTAACTGCTTTTTTAATTTTAATAAATCTTTGAATCATGGTCAGCATTAAATTCCAAAATGTTTTTGAATCAAAGATTTATACTAGCTCCTGTCCAAATTTATTTATAGGATAACATTTCGAAGAATCTATTTCTAAAAAAGATCTTTTAAATGTTAAACATTAAAACAGTTAAAAGTACAACAACTTTTTAAAGTTGAACCAGAATCTTATGAACCTCAGGAGTTAGGTCACTAGTTTCATTTTCTTCCTTATCGTCTTCATCAGAAACATCAAAATCATCTATAATATATTTGTCATTAGGGCTCTGATTATTATTTTAAACTTTTATTTTATAAATCAACAATAAACGCATTGCATGTATAAAACAAAATCAATATTCAGCAAAAGAAATTTTTTTTTTTTCTTTTATAACAGAAGCACCATCAGTTGTTATGCAAAAAGCAGTTGTTATGTCAATAGAACTCTTGCACTCATTTACTCATTTACTAAAGCAGATGATTATTTTAATATGACTTCAACTATTTATTTATATAAATATATATATATATATATATATATATATATATATATATATATATATATATATATATATATATATATATATATATAAATATATATATATATATATATATATATATATATATATATATATATATATATATATATATATATATATATATACATATATATATATATATATATAAATTTGTAAAAAAACACTAATCTAACTTGAGCTTCTACTGTCAGTTTCTTCTTCAGCAGAATCATCAGCAAGCTTCTTGATAATCCTGCTGAAGCAGAAACTGGCAGTAGAAGCTCAAGTTAGAAAAGTGTTTTTTTACTAATTTATTGCTGCTCTGTTTTTTAATAACATTAAGCATATGTGTGAATATAGTACTTAAAAAATTATAATTTTAAAGATTCCACAATAAAAGTAAATAATATATTAAGTAATCAAAATATAAAATATATAATTCATTACATAAAATAGAAATTATTATGCAATAATTTAAAGTGTAATAATTTTATATTTTATCAATATAGTTTTATATATGTATGTGCATGTGTATATATATATATATATATATATATATATATATATATATATATATATATATATATATATATATATATATATATATATATATATATATACATTTGCTGCATATATATGTATATATATATATATACGTATAAAAAAAAAAAATATATATATACATATATGTATATAAATGTGTATATATTATATATATATATATATATATATATATATATATATATATATATTATATACAAGAACAAGATATAGTGGTAGAGTGGTTCGAAATTCAACTTTTTTTAACTTCTAAGTTATGCTTTGACACAAATAACATCAATGTTTTGAAATGGCCATCTCAAAGTCCGGACGAATCCAATAGAAAATTGGTGTTATATTTTGGACAGAAAAATTGGCAAACGAGCATTTAGATGCAAAGACAACTTGAAAGAAGCTATAATGAGAACATGGGATAATATAACAACAGAAAAGACCCAAAATTTGGTTAACTCAATGCCAAATTGTCTAGATGAGGCTATCAAAGGCTAAAGGAGGCTCCAATCGATACTGGTTTCCATGGAATTTGATCAATTTGACATTTGTTTTGAACTGTACGATTTTTTTTTTTGCTGACAATTTTATGCATCGTTAGATCAATTGTGTAAAATTCAATAGGTTTGAAAAATAAATAGTTCACCAATACACAATTAAATTCTTAAAACAATACTTGATAAGATATCTAAAAAAAACTTGTTAATATTTTAACGGACTTCTCTTTTTTTTTTGATGCAATCTTTAAATCTATATATTTTTTTCAAGTGTACGATTATTTTTTTGCATACTGTGTATATATATTTATGTATATATATATATACGTATTCACAATATATATATACAAAATATATATATACACACTAAATATATATACATATATATATATATATATATATATATATATATATATATATATATATATATATATATATATATATATATATATATATATATATATATATATATATATAAATATACATATATGCATATGTACATACATTCACTTACATACACTTACATGTTGGTTACTATGAAATACATAAATTTCTCTTTTATTTAGGTTCCAAATTAGTTCAAAAATCGATTCGTCGCATGATTGAGCAAGGTTGCGATGAAGTAATAGCATTTAACTATTACTTATAATTTGTTATTTTTATTTATATAGCTCTCATTTTCTATATAAAAGATATGTATTATATATTTTTTCTATGCAGGTTGTTTTGGAAACTGAAGTGACCAATACAGGAGCTCTCAATCTATATGAAAATTTAGGTTTTGTAAGGGATAAAAGACTCTTACGCTATTATTTAAATGGTGTAGACGCTTGGAGATTAAAACTATGGCTCGTTTAATTGGCTTCAACGGAAATAAAGGATTAATTTTTGTAAAAAAAAGCGTTCTGCTAAATAAACGTTAAGTTTTCTCAGAAATGAGAAAATGATTAGAGTAGTTTTATATCTCATAACAAATTTTAGCTCAAATATTCAAAGTTACTTTTTTTTTATATTACAACATATATTTTTTATAAAAAATGTAAAAAATATATTAATATATAATTTCTTGTAAATCTATCGCCTACAAGTAAGAAGATATATCAATATATAACTTCTCGTAATTCTTTTGAATGTTGACGCATTCTGAAAAAACCTATTTCCACATAAAAAATAAAAAAATTCACTAACTTTAAAATAACAGTATTTTATAAAATAAAATATAAAAGATCTATCTTTCCTTGTTAATTAAGTGTTTTTAATACAACGGAATAAAAATATAAGCTAAAATATTGCTGATGATTTGAGACCACTTTTCTGTTTTTGCGATTTTTATAGAAAATTTGACTTTAATCAATTTAAATAAAACTTCATCAATCATTTCATTAACTATTTTAATCACTTCATGCTTGATGATCTTCATGCTTGATGTTTGAAATTTAAAACACTTATCTATTTATCTGATTCTCAAGTAATCCTAGTAGTTTTTTTACAAAAATTTTGTTTTTGACTTTCAAATTTATCAATTTTAAATTTAAAAAGTAATATTTTTGATAGATGATTTCAGGAATTTTTAACTTGTTATCAAATATGTGTTCAAAATTAGCATGTTTTGCAACTAATTATTTTAGCTTAATGCGTAAATTTTTGTTTACATTTTAAACCGCGTCCCGAGCTATTAAAGAAATAAATAAATAACAGACCTTCGCACCGCACAATGCGCAGTGGTCTGAAAATCTTGATTTTTGGCCAAAATTAAAAAAAAAAAGTTTGTAATTTTTGTTACAAAATTGTCCGGCAATTCAAAAATATATAGGTTTCATAATTTTTCAAACTATATGCACATATGTATCGTTTTTTTTTAAAACTAATTTAATAGTATAGAGTTTAATTTGAAATAATAATAATTTTTTATTATTGTATATTTGCATAAGTTATTTATGTTTGAAACTAGCATAAAATAAAAGTTTTTTTTTCAATTTCAACTTCTTAAATCTTATGTCCGCATGCATGGACTTGATCGATATGATTTTATTAAATCATAATACCCATATATTATTCACACAAAAAAAATCAGCTGCAAATAAAATTATTTAAACCAACTTTAAAGCTACTAAAATATACCTTTTTTATGTTATCAAAAAGACCAGTGTCACTATTTTTGTTTTATTTCTATAAATAAATGTTCAAAAGCATTTTTTTTTTCTTTATACAATCGTATTTGCTACCTAAATTGTTAAAAGTAATTCAAATATTCATTTTTTTTTTTAATTTTTATAATATTTTCCATATATTTAAATGAAAATACTTGAAAAAATGCATATTTGGTAAACTTAAAATCTATGTAAAACGCTAAGTCCGCAATTAAAACATTATATTTATAGTATATTTTAAACATCTATTGTCGTTTAATAGTTTCTGAAAAAATCAGCTGCAAATAGTTAAAACAAAGGATCCTTTGTTTTAACTAGTTCCTAGGAACTAATATTCATTGCAAACCATACTGTATTAAAACTATATTTGTGTTGCTTTTATTTAATCATATCTTTGTTATTTCGTATTGTACGCAAACTTTTTATAATATGGTTTTTATTTTAATGTATTGACTTATATATCTTTAGATTGATTATTAAATTGAAAATAATATAGTAGCTTTTCATGAAAATATAAATACCCAATTTATGACAAGTTTTAGAAATTTTCGCGTGTGATTTTTATTATTTAAAAATATTGATGAAAACTTGTGAAAAATAAGCGGAAAGCATCACCTACAATTTTTAATTAAAACATTTAGTTTCGACTTGCTATAAATTTTTTTTGTTGGGGAGGGGAGGGGGGCGTTGTTTTAATCCCCTCTCCCTCGCTACATCCTATTTAAATATATATATATATATATATATATATATATATATATATATATATATATATATATATATATATATATATATATAAATATATACATCGACTACCCGGTGGAAAAACGGCTAACAAATAGCTAGCTGTAATCGTTACGATAAAGACAGCGATTTGGCCACGAGATAAGATTCCCCAAAGGTTCTCAATTGGATTGAAATCTAGACTATATGCAGGCCATCTCATCACTTCGATGTTTTTGGATTCAAACCATGCCATAGTTTCTCTTGATTTATGAATGGGTGCATTGTCTTGTTGGAAAATGACTTGATCTTCCAAGTTATTTTCCAAAAAATCGATTAAGACATCTTCTAATAAATCTGTATAATTAATGGATTTCATTTTTGTTGATATAAAACATATCGGTGTCTTTCCATTGGTACAAAATGCTGCCCATGTCATTAATGATCCACCACCAAAATTACGTGACAAACGAGGTGCATTGTTTTTTTCGCAAATCATGCCAGTAATAGCTAAAACCATCTGGTCCATCAAGATTAAACTTCTTTTCGTCCGAAAATACGACATATTTCCACTTTTCTCCAAAGTCCATATTTTTTCTGGCGAATTCAAGTCGTGCTTCTTTGTGTATTTGCTTTAAACATGGGTTTTTTAGTGGTTTTCGCCATTTTATATTATTAGATCTTGACAATATTTGTTGAACACGTCTAGGAGTGATTGTCAAACTTAATTCTGATATGATTTGACTCGTAGTTAACTTTTGTTTTGTCGCTAATTGTCGAATTTGTTCCACGTTCCTTTTCGTTATCTTGTAGTTTTTACGTATTTTTTGATTGACGCCATATACTGACCCAAGTTTCAAAAAGTTTCTAATCACCTTTTCAGATCGTCCAATTTTTCGTCCAATTTCTCTATTAGATAACCCGGAATCCTTATATGCTTTAATTAAACCTTTTTCATGGTCATTTAAAAATTTTCCATGTGCCATTTCACTAAAAATATGAAACATTGAATTTTATGAAAAATATTTTTATAAGTTAATTAAGAAATTACTTACAATTTAAATTGATTTTTTCAACACCAAAACTAAAAATTATATCTCAAATTTAATAAAACAGAACTGCGTCTATACAAATTTCGCACTCAAATAAATCAAATAACTAAATTTTTTTATATAAAGAAATTATAAAAACAATGATATCAATTATCTTTTAATTATCAATTAACAAACAATGGTATAAATATATCACATAATGAAATTTCTTAATAAAACGTTTAATTAAGTCTCTATAATGAAAAATCTGATAAAAATTGTGTGCTGCTAAGAAAATTTCGTTCACTGTATATCCTATTAAAAATATCAACTTTTTTATCAGACCGTTAAAAAATATTTAGTGAACAATGACACAGACACAGTAATATATTTCAAACTTAATATTTAGCATTTTCAAACTTAAATATTATTTAATCAGTTTTTACTTAAAAAATTATAGACGAGAGGTATAGACGACTATGGTATAAACCTTTTAATGTAGAGACGACAAGATTTGAATTACAAAGTGATTAAAATAGTGCAGTGAATGTTTTTCTTGATTCTTTTGGCTGAATTTAGAATAATTAGTTAATTTCTCAACATTTCAAGCATCTAATGGAAAAATAAAAAATATTTTAGATTTATTATCACTAACTTTTAAACAAAGGTAATGAACTTATCTAACTCATTGCCGTTTGGTGATTTATCGCAAGGTCATCGCATATTGAATAGGGATTTAGTCGTCGTTTCAAAAATTGAGACTACTCTCAAACAAAAATATGATTTTAATAAAGGCGACTAAGTAAACTTTGGTAAAAAGGTATTGGAAACTAACTGGTAGCAATTATTTGAAAATAAGAACACTAATGGGTGCTATAAATTGTTCTGCAATAAATATGATAATCACTGCAAATTAATATAACGAAACTGCAAGCAGCTCATCGCGTTGAAAAAAGTCCATACTACTCGTAATTAAAAGAATAAGGAACATAAGTTATGATAAATCAAAAAAATAAACTGGGTAATTACTTATCTGCGATAGGCTAGTGATCATCAACACTGAATCGTATATCGACACCTACAGGTTGGAAACAGCCACACGTTACACCGTTGTTCAAAAAAGAAGTCGTGTTGATGCCACCAACTACAGACCAGTATCAATCAAATCCTTTTATGTAAAATAATGAAAAAGATTACAAGAGAAGGTAAAGCAAAATATATTTATAAAACGGGCTGCATTTCACACAATCATCACGAATTTATGTCCAAAATAGGATGCTCGTATGATTTATTAATAAGTGTTAACTTCATAACGAAAGCGCTAGCTAAAAGAAATTTAATCGATATTGCATTTTTAGGCTTCACAAATGCATTTAATAAAGTTTCTTACCGTATAATAGGTCACAAAAGCGCACTTGCCTCAGAAACGTAAGATTCGTGGTTCAAATCCCACTTCTGCGCAAGTTTTGCGACATCGGTTGGTAAGAAGGTGTGAACTTCCTGTTAAATGCTCTTCCGCGGTGCTCTATGATAATACCGTAAGGACTTCTTGAGACAACTAAAAAAAAAATGTTTGGGATCAATAACAATGTTCTTAAGTGGATTGAACCATTTTTGAATAGTAGAAAGTAGCGAATTATTTTAGGTGAACGCTATAACGACTGAGCCAATATTCTATACCAAGTTCTGCAAGGGTCTTTATTTGTTCCAAAAATTTTCATCATTTAGTAATTAAGTATAAAATAATATAAAACGAATGATGAAAATACAGCACTAAATCGGTAATCAAAAAATACAGGGTATCTTTATATTCAATTCTCTAAAATGGAATCAATGGAAAAAAACATTTAGATCAAGAGGTACGAAACTTTGGAGTAAACTATACAATATGTATGTTATGTTATAGCCACATCTAGAATTTGCTGAACCGATATGATGTTCTTAGTTAAAAAGTGACATAAAAAAAATCAAAAAAATTAGCACAAAGTAACAAAAGTACCTCATGATTTAATAGAATTACCTTATGATGAAAAGTATCAGCGCTTCTATTTTACTACTTTGGAAGATCGCAGACAACGCACAGTGGAGTATTTGTATAACAAAATCGCTGAAAAGTCAAAAAAAAAATGTTAGCATAAAAATCCTATTAATCTTTTAATTTTTAAGCTAAATAATTGCTTCATTAGATTGCGTTTTAAAAAGTTCTCCTCGCTTTTTCATTTTGTCACATTTTCATTCAGAACGTGGCGTTGTTGTTTGAACTTTTTTTTGTTTTTTAAGTTCGAAAATTTGTGACATTTGTTATTTCAGCTATTGTCATAATATTGTTCAGTTTTAAACAGTTTTAAAATAAACTTCTAATTATAAAAGAGGAAGGTATGTACTATACTTTGAAATAAAATAATAATTTTTAAATAAAATAATAATTTTTAAATTTTAAATTTCTGTTGTTAATGTGCATAATATAAAGCGTTTTTACGATGGCCTATTTGAGTTTTAATTTTGACATAAAATTATAAGACAAAATTGTTTTTGACAAGTATGGTCTTGTTGAGTTAAAAATTTTTTACGAGCAATAAATAGAGGCTGTTAATAAACAGATACTTTTGTAAAATTATCCGCCAACGTCGGGCACCTTTTGTTTTAACGCTTTGAAAATAGTGTGTAAACCATTACGTAATACAATCTCGTAAAAAGTACTAAAATAGTTATAAAGTAAATTCTTAAGGTCCGATTTTTAAAATGTTTAATTCAAACTAAACTAAACTACGTAAACAAATCTTAAATAGATTATACATTAAACTATTAAACTATAAAATATTTGTCAATAGTTACGAGCACCGTTACCCAGTTTTGTATTTATTTTTTTATTATTTATTCTCAAGAATCTTATAGAAACAAGGTTGCCCAAACAAATTGGAAAAATAAAGCACACCTTGCTTGAACAAACATCAAAAGATTTTAATAAATTTATTAAAAAAGAGAAAATCAACATTGTACCTCAGAAGACAAAGGTCGCTTGTCCATTTTTTTTAAAAATGAGTTATGTATGAGACCTTTTTAGTTTTTTCAGTATCTACACAGAGGTAAAAAGATTGTTGTCCAACGACAATGTGAAACAAAGTTAGTTATATAAATTTAATTACCAAGAATAAGCCAATAAAGACTAATTACTTTACTATTTCCTCTCTCCTGAACAATATCTAAAATGTGACAACCGACCTTTGACTTCTGAGGTACAGAATACAGAAGCCCTCTCATTTAGACTCTTCATGCAAGGATCGCTTCTTTGAATCACTTCTTCATTTAGCTTATAAACTTATAAAATACCTTTACAAAAGTGGCAAACTCAATTAGACAAGGAAGAAAAAATTGTCAAAGAAGCGAAGAAGAATTTTCAAACATCCTTCAAAGAAAAATTAGGGCTTCAAGTAGATATACCTAAAGCAAGGTTTTGAAATACCAATGACGGCAAAACGTCAAGAAGAATTTTTCAAACCCGGAATTATCTTCACAAACTTGAATTTAATAAAACGTTTACACGTTATTTTTGAAATCATTTCAAGTAGATATGAAATTGATGCTTTTAAATTCAACGTTTTTGCTCATAAAACTGCTAAAATGTATATCAATCTGTATGGTTGGTATCCTATGTCTCCAAATATGCATAAAATTTTGTGGCATTGGTGCAGAAGTAATAACTCATGCAATCCTCCCTATCGGCCAGTTATCTGAGTAGGCAGCTGAAGCGATAAACAAACACTTTCGGCAGTACAGACAAAATTTTAGTCGAATTTTCTCGTATCGACTGCAATATAGACGTATTAAATAGACTGCTATGGAGTTCAAACCCATACATAAGTAGTTCTAGATCAAAACGATACAAAAAAACGTTGCTTTTTTCAAAAGAGGCAGTCAATATGATTATCACAGAATGAACATTTAACACGCGAATAATTTAAAGCAAATAATTCTTTTTCTTAATAATAAATTACTCTGTAGAATTTTTTTTTTTAATTAAACGTTTAATTTTGATAAAGTACTGTGTTTCAAACTAAAAAATTAAAAAAATATCCATAAAATATTTTTGAGCGGTTTTGTCATACAAATACTCCACTGCGAAACGTGACGACTTAATTCAATAGTTCAAATTAGAAAACGGTTTGAGATCATCAATTGGCATAATCCACCGATTTGCAGATCACCATCCAACGTCTTAGAGTTTATATTTTTGTGAACCGCTGTATATTTTTGAATAATTTATTGATTTCATTTTTTTTCTCAACTATTTGTAATTTAGAAAGATTTAAATATATTACTATAACTTAAAGAATAAAACCACAACAAAACCACTGTTATATCTTTATATAAATTTATAAATCAAGTTTGAAAAAAAAAATTCAATATATTTAAATCCAATCATTGAAAAAACAAAAACAAAAAACGTCTACCTCCGCTTTTTTCAAGCCGTTGCACAATGCGGAAAGTCTATTATTTTGGTACGCCATAGTCTAGATAAATCCGACTCGCAATGATTTTATAAAATTGATAATTTGTCGAGTTTTAAATTTGTGGAATGGATAACTGTCTTCTCCAGATCACAACCCTCAGTTGATGTGAGTACGCTTGACTAAACCAACTCTACTGCGTCTATCCCGAATCAGAAATATAGGAAATTGTATTTTAAGTTATTAATTCTACATTTAGTACATTTATTTTGTATGTATCATTCAGGTTTTCTTGAGAATTTCTGGATATTAAGGCAATAGTATTCAAAGAATTCAGTCGTCATATTTTAAATTAAAAAGAAAAAAAATTACGCTGTACTTAGGTGAAAATTTTATTTTTATAAATAATGTTCTGGGATACCAGAGTTCAGATAAATATGGAGTCAAGATAGTTGCATCCATTTAGGAATAAAGATAAAAAGTTTTCAAATAAAAAAAGTTCTTTTATTAGAAAAATCATTGTGTGTACATAGATTGTTCTTATAAAAACTGGCATAAGTGCGCCGAATAAATTTGCTAATATTGGCATAAGTGTGAATTTGCATAAGTGCAATCTAGCATAAGTGCGAAGCAGTAACAAAAATGGCATAAGTGCGAACTGGCATAAGTGCGAATTAGCATAAGTGTACCAAACAAAATTTGTAATATTAGCATAAGTGCAAATTAGTATTTCGCACTTATGCCAATTCGCACTTATGCCAGTTCGTACTTATGCCTATGTTTGCAAATTTATTTGGCGCACTTATGCCAATTCACAGTTATGCCAGTTTGCACTTATGCCAGTTTTTGTAACTGCTTTGCACTTATGCCAGTTTGCACTTATACCAATTCGAAAGTTTGCAAATTTGTTCGGCGCACTTTTGCCAATTTGCACTTATGCCAGTTCGCACTTGTGCCAGTTTTTGCAACGCTTCACACTTATGCCAGTTCACACTTATGCCAATTCGCGCTTATGCCAGTTCGCACTTATGAAGTTCGCGCTTATTCAATCGTCCCCTTTTGTCCAGTAAGAAGTTTCATAATTTGATTTCTGTTACTAAGTATTTTAAGATGCTGTGTTTTATTTTGCGCAAATATAAAAACAAAACAAAAAAAACCTTATTTTTAAGAATCGTAATATATATTATAAAATATCTCTAAATATTTTAAATAACTTTTAGTAATCTTTTTATAAAAATTTATTTATATTCATATTTATTTATAAAAAAAAACTTAGTTTTTATTTACAAACTATTTACAAATTTGTTTATTAAAAAAATATAAATATTAAATAAAAATTAAAAAGATTCGAAATTATAGAGGTTTAGCCATGTTCACTTTTACTAACAGTTTTCATTTGCTTACTATGATCACCTTGAGGAGAATACGAGCTAATCGTTTTATTTGACTCTTGTAGTTTTATTATTCGTTCCTGCACTTTGACTACTTTGGCTTGAGTTCTTAAAATTTTCCATTGAAGTTTAAGTATTTCTTGAGCCGTTTCAGGATCTTGTTCTACTGTTTTAAATACATTTGGTACAAGAGAAGACTCATCTTGAATGCTAGTCTCCGTATTTTTGTCAACTAAGTGCTTGGTCGACTTTAATTCAGGTTTAGTTACTTTTCGTTTATCAAGTTCTTTATATAAACTTTCTGTGCTTGATTTAAAAGATTTTTTTGTTAACTTAACGTTTTGCGGTTGATCCGCTTGATCTCTGGTGAGTTTTTTTAATTTTCGATGAACTGTCTTTGTGTTGCGAGATGCATAACTTGTGATGCTTTCTTTTTCACTATCAATGTAATCTTTTGAATTTTCGCTCCATTTTTCTGCAGCTGCTTTTATTGAAGACCCTGAATTCTTCTGATGTTGTTCAATACTTTTTGTACTTTCTAAATCTTGAAATCTATTTAATTGTGGTTTTAATTTTGGTTTAATTGGTATTTCGGAATTATTTAATACTGTAGAATCAACTCTCTTAACTCGGGATTTTTTACTGTCAACTGTTACTGCGTTGAAAGTGTTTTTAGTATTAGGTTTCACTTCTTCTTTTAATGATTGATCTGATAATGAATTTTCTAATTGAGAAAACTTTCTTGGTTGCGTGTCAATGCAGTATAATTTATCTTCAGCATCAGGTTTATTATTAAACGGTGCAACCACGGAGTCGTTTTTTAAATTAGTTTGATGAGATTTTAAAATAATGGTTGCTTCATCTTTACTTAGGTCATCTTTATAATATTCGTTTTCTAAAATAATACCAAAGGTTGGCCCCCAAACTCGTTTTACTAAAGGTGTCACTAAAAACCAAACATAAATAAGGCAGCAAACAAAACTTGAGGCCATTTGAACCCAGACAGAGGCCCAATTTTTTACTAATCTTTGCAGGTCAGAGTTTTCTTCTGGAGAATGCCAATTGGTTAGTATCATTAGTATGTATAAAGAACCAACAGACATAACCATATGAAAAAATGAATAATTGTATCCCACGTACTCGTGTAAAAAAACTTCTTTTCCTCCTGTCTCAAGACTTTTTTCAACATTAGCTCGGGACTTATCTTCTTTGTAAGTAGCCATTGCAAAATCTTCACTTTCAGCCAATGCTAAGCCATATTTTCCTAAATGTGAAGTGTTGGCTCTGACAGAACATGCAAACACCAAGAGAATAAGTGTTATTGCGCATCCAAATATAGCTTCACCACTTACTCCTGTAAGCGAATCATATTCAAGTATGATACTACCAAGAGGATTACATGTGGAGTCTGGTTCAGACGATAAAGTGTTCCATGTTAAATACATTGTATACAAAACAACAACAGAACTTTGAAGGAGTCCTGCTCCAGTAAGCTCTTGCTGCACGGATGGTGTAATTGATATAAGAACTGCAAGAAAACATTGAAGTCCAACAAATGAGATGTAAAAAACATTGGCATGACATTTTCGAATGTCTGGAGCATGAGTAAAATAAATATAAAATGTGATTAATGCTCCACACGATAATGAAAACATAAACAGAGTAACGAAAGCCATTGCTGCGTACCAAAATTTTGCGTGACCACTTTCTAACTTTTCTGCCCACGATAACGACCAAGAATGTCCGAAATCAATAATAAGCATAATCTGAAACATTATAAATACAAAACCAGCTGTCATACTTACGTACATCCAAATTCTAAAAATTCCAGCTTTTTTTGGAATCGAAAATAATAGAATTGTTAAAGCAAATATCAATCCCATTTTAAAAAACCAGAGTCCGTTGTTAAATTTTGCTCTGAAGCTTTTAATTCGAGTAACTTTAATTGTGAGGATAGAAAGCACAAAATGAAATAAAGCCAACGCTGTCAGTATGCGATAAACAGCGGCAAACCCTACAAATTTATCGCAAGTGTCCGAAGATACAACTTTTGAACAAAAACCTGGTATTTTGTCAAGTTTAAATCGCAATCCTGGTATTAGCAATATGATACAGGTTACTGTAGCAAACAACAAGAAAGAACAATAGCGAAACTTTGCACGAGTAGCACTGTCCCTTGTGACAAGACCACAAACAGAAGAACATGCACAACAAGTAAGTTCTGCTGCTAATTCAGCCGCACCAGCGGTCTGTAATACTGCTCCCATGTAACATCGATAAAAATTTTTAAGCGTACAACATCCATATATTTACCAACAAGAAAACAGATTGTCTTTTTTTTTTTGGTTAATTACAGATCCAAGATTTATCTTTTAACAAACCAAGCGTTAAAACAGTTTTAAAACTTTTCTTGATGCCGATTTCCTACTTTGATTTTAGTTTAACACTTAAATTAAATCAATATTACAGATAAATATCTTTATAAATTTTTTAGCTTTTGCTAAAAATGAATCTTTGCAATAAACATACCCATTGTGAGTTCTGCAAACTGCGATTTATAATATAAAATTAAAAAAAAATAAAAAGTAACTAGTAACAAGTTAAAATAGAAAACAATGCACACTAAATATTTTCTTTCGTTATTTATTTAATATTTAATTTTTATATATGTATATATATATTTTTGAGATTTTCAAATTATTAGTGGAATATTTAGATCTTTCAATATTTTGAATTTTTTTTTAATTTTTGGGTATATTAAAGCTCAAAATAAACCTAACCAACCGTGTCTGATATAGTTATACCGAAATTTGAAAAAAAAAAAAAAAAAAAAAAAAGTTGTTTGAAATAAAATGTGGTCATATTTGTAATCCGTGTATTTGGAGGATGAAGAGTGTAAAAGGGAAAAAAAATTCTAGGATCAAATGACCGTAATAATAAAATGGTTTAAAGAACGGACTTTTACTTAATCTTTTTTTTTTTAATAAGAGTATGACGGAGATCAATTTAACATTGTTTAACTCCTTTCTGTAAATTTACTTTATAAAAGACTCTGTTAAAAAAATGCTGTCAAATGAGGTATCTTGTTTAAAACTACTATCAATTTTCAAACTTAATCAAAAAAGAACTAGATGCTCAAAAAATATAGTAGGATATGGCGGAGTGTTTAGAGCAATATTCACTAAATATAACAGATCAGTACGTCTGATTTACATTTTTCAACAGTAGAAAGTTAATTTAATTTGCCGATAGACGATATTACTTATGGTCTACCAAACTGCTCAATCCACCCCAACAGTAAAGCAAGTGTGTGGGGGCAGTTTGAACAATGCACGAACAAATGTATATGCATTAAGTGAGACTAGTTTTCTGTCATCCGTATTTTTAGCAAGTTTTTAAATTATCACAATGTGGAGAAGCTACGTTTAGCATTGACAACACTTACAGGAAATGACTTAATAATTTGAAAAAACTTATGAATGATTGAATATTTCAACAGTAAAAATAAATCAAAAACAATAGAAAGATCAGTAGGCAGTGATGTGATTCCTCCATCGTTCTTTATCCTTATGCATTTGCGCTGCCATAGTTTAACTTTCGATGTAAATTCAGGTACAGGTAAGTTTTTGATATTAAGCCCAAGTATAACTATAGGCACTGATTGCAGAAATAATTTCTTAATGACTCAGTGTAAAAATATATTTTGACATCAAAGAATAGGTTTAAAAATATTGCAAATTTTCATTAGGAAAATTTGTTCATGGCCAACACCAGCACATCAAGAACAAGAGTATAAATTGATCGCCCGTAATACTTTTATGTTGTTTTTAAAGGTATACATTGACTGTAAAACTACCATCTTTTTTATTTATTGTTTTTTCTGCTGTTCTAAAAACTTCCTTAAACACTTCTATATAGTTTTCACTTTTTTGTTTTAAAGTGAAAACACTTCTTCGTAGGTTTCACTTTAAAACAAATAACCTTATTTTTAATTATCTTTTTTGCGATATTTTACTTTTTGTAAACCTCAACTTTTTTTGAAACAACTGACTGAGCCCATTTGTTAGAGAAGCTGTGCAGCACAGCTTAAAGACACAATAAAATCATTTTCTCTAATTTACAATAATAAAACTCTTCCTTTTAAGGAAGATGTTCTGTCATTTAGTTTAGATATACTTTCCAGTGCATCAATTGTTTATGAAACCTCATCATTAAACGTTCATGTCTCTCAACTCATCGTGTTTTTTAGAGTGAAAGCAGTTGCGGATTATCATTTATAATAAAATATAATTTTGCAGAAGAATTGAAAAAACCAAAAACTTTTGCCAATAACACCTAAATAATTATGAATTTGAAAATGATCTAAAAAGTTATATAAATAATGGGTTTGCTGAAAAAATCTAAAAATCTCCCACCCTGCCCTTACTTGATGATCTGGATCCGTCCCTGCTCCAAGCCATCTTTATCCATTTGATTTTTTGTCATGCATTGCGTAGTTTATAAGATAACTAACTTGCTAAATTTGCCCTTATGCTCAACTAGCCCTTAATGGAATCTTTTTTTTTCTTTTTCTTTTTCTTTTAGGTGTCCCAAGAAGACCTAACGATCTTGTCACAGAGCACTGCGGAAGAGCATTTAACTAGAAGATTTACACCTCCTTGTTTACCAATGGAACGAAATATGCCCAGTGCTTATAAAACAAGCGCTCTAATCACTGTGCCTCGGTCGCTCTAATCTGTTTTTCCATATAAAGAAAAGTTCTCCTAAAATCTAATAAGTTAAACGCTCTAACCACAGCAGAGACTATTTTTAGTCATATGGTTATACTTCAATTTATTTTTGAATAGAATAATGCATATCACAGTAACAATATTTATTTTATCATTTTGTCAAATATGAATATTCTTAAACTGATGTTTTGTTTTTATTTGATAATGCTGTAAACTCTCTAAAGTTTACACTTTTTTACCATGCATTGATCTGAGAGTTAGCCTCTAGTAGCGCCTATCAGACCTATATTTTAAGGGTGACATCCAAAAACATTTAAGTTTTTATATTTATATTAAAAATTAGCAAAAATGTAAAATTTTTTACATTTTTTGCCAATTTTTGCAACATGCTATATACACACTCGCGGAAAGTGTGAAATTTTCCTCCACACCGGTGTGTAGCTATCACTCTTAGGCACAAGTGTGGAGTTATTTTGCACACTTTTGTGTAAATAACTTCACACTTCTATGCAGAAGTCGAATTAGAAAAAGTTAATTTCGACAAAAGTGTGCAAAATAACTCCCACTTGTGTCTAGGAGTGATAGCTACACACCGGTGTGGAGGAAAACTCGACACTTTCTACGAGCGTGTACAAGTGTGAAGTATCTATGTTTGCACAATTATTCCCAATTTTGTCAATTTTTAAATGTTGAAGCCCGAATCAGTTTTATATTTTTTAAAACTATTTTTTATAAAAATGTGTTTGGTTTCACATGTAAAATCTTCCACACCAATACAAATTTTCGTTTTCAAAAAATTTTGCCCTATTATATTCTTTTATCTGGGTAGATTAGGATAACTTGAGCATATTGGTAATTTGAAGATACCAAAAGATTTCATTGATGTGTTTAGTGAAGCTTTAGTTGCTTTTTATTTTTTGAATTGACTTTATGTAGTAATTATACTACAGAAAGCAGTATAATTAGTGTAAATTTATACGCAGTAATTAGCGGCACTAATTTAATTAAAACTTTTTTGTTTTGTTAAATTTGTTTCTTAACATGTGAAAGAATCTGTGGCGCGAAATTTTGATTTTGAAATATAGATATTGGTTTTTTCTTGAAAAAATATATGTATATTATATATATTAGCTAAGAAACCCGATCCATTTTTTCTTTGGAAAACAATGAACGGAAACATTTATTTTTGAATTCATTTAAAAATAGCATATTCGTGTAAAATGAGCATTCTCATATTAGCTAGTGTTTATTAGTGAAATTACCTAGATTAAAGTCTTAAGTATGCAGCAATTATAATTTCTTTTTTAATTTAATTTAAAAACTTTATTTCTAGTTGACTTTACAAGATAGTTTTAGTTAACACAAAAACTAATTTAAATCAAAGCATTTAACTTTATAGACAATACACACATAAAAATGTCATATAAAAATTACAATTGTTACATAAAAAAAAGAAAAAAAAATGTCATAAAAATTTACAATTGTTTCAATTTAAAAAAAAACATTTATAATAATACAATCTTAGCTAAAGATATAAGTCAATATAAAATAGAGGATAATAAGAAAAGTTAAAATAAAAGTATTAAACAGCAAAAGATTTATCACGGGATAAAAAATTTCCTATGCGTGAAAGAAAAAAACATTTACTATTAGCTTTACTGCATAACTGTTTAATGTGTTCCCCAAACTTTAAATCTTTATCAAGGCCCTATTTTAACCCTTTGTTTACGACCACAAGTATAGGATAGCAAGAAATTAAGACTTTCTTTTGAAAAACCATATGCGTGTAATTTAGCAATTAGTAAATCTATAGTCGTACACTTTTGAGAGGTCTATTAATATTGATCCAACAACACCTTCATTATTAATACAATTATGCCACTTATAAAGTAACAAAAAGGAGCATGCTGAGTACTATAACCTTTTCAGAAACCACACAAAAGTTTATCAAATCTAGGCTCAATAAATATCAATAATTATTCATATAAAATAGTTTCAAAAACTTTAGAAAGGGCTGGTAAAATACTAATTGGACCGTAATTCGACTTATCAGTTGTGTTATTCTTCTTAAAACATCGTTTAACATCAGCCATTTTTATAAATGATGGGAATTTACCGTCATGGATACTTTTATACTGTGGAACTAAGTTTTAAATTTATTTTGATAAGTGGACGTCGATTCGAAATATATTTGAATATCAATTTACACAATAGAGACATTTTTTACAGTTTAGATTTCTTATTTTATTAAGTTTCCAAATATGAGATTTTTGCTCCGACTAAAGTGATAAATCAAATTTCCGAAGAAAAACGAAGATAATGAGTTGTATCAACTGGGTAAATCTGGCGTTAAGGTAAGCAGTTTATATATTAGATCTTTTTATACTAGCGAGACTTAAAATAATTTTAGAAATGTAATTCAATCCTTTTTAAGGTTTTTTATGGTAGCTTTTTATGTTGTCTTTTTTACATTTTGATTAATGAATCTTTAATCTGTATAAAAAAAGTATAAACATGTTAATTGTGGTACTTAGACATCCATTAACAAACAATCTTTTAAATATTATGCTAAATGCTTGTTATTTAACAATGGTATTTAATAAGCAAACAGGTTATTATACTTTAATGTATGTATTATGCTTTACATGATAATGAAATTTAAAGCAAATAAACATAAAAAATAATGAAAAAGTAGCTTCATTTAGTATAACGAAGTTTTTCACTATCTGGTTTTCTTTTTGCAGTTAGTTTTCATTTTGTACTACCATTTTCGAGTTTTCTTCCTATATCTCTATCTCGTTTTGCTTGTTTCCACATTTTAACTAGATGATCTGGACAACAAAATAAAAGATGCCATAAGTTATAAGAAAAACACTTTGAAAAAAAAAATATATATTTTCTTAATAAACATTTTCAGTAAATAAGGAACAATTTTTTTAAAATAACAAATATAAATATATACGCTGTATTGATTGACTGGCTAGATTAACTCAAAGTTGACAAACAATATTTATTAACTAAACCTTTGAACAATAAATTTGTTAAGACCATATATTCTGATTCGTTTCTTTCAGTTTTTCTAACGAAAACATTAAAAAAGGTTTTATTATCACGGCTCTGTATTGCTGTAATTATATATAGATTTTTTTAGAAAACTTACTCGTTTATCGAACTCGTGGTTTGAATAGAATACTACATTAAGCCTATAAATAATCTAAATTCTTGCGTCGACTAATAGTATGATAATTCGTAAAATAAAATATTTTCAAAGATATTTATCAAATAGCTTTAATAATGAAGTGTTCTAATATAATGTTCCAAAATTGACTTAAAAAATTATTTGTCTTTTCTATTTTTTCAATAGCATTCTAATAGTCTCCGCGAGGCCCTTGTTAGCGCCTGGCCCGATGCAATCGCTTCTCTCGCATCACCTCCTATCCTGCTTTGTAATCAACTTTAAAGCAAATAAAAAATAATGAAAATTTAGCTTGATTTAGTATAACTAAGCTATGCATTTAACTAACATTATAAATGTTCTATACATGTACATCTTATACATGTAAAAATACATGTTCTAAAGGCATGTGCACTGTATTTAAGATTTTCTTTATCCTAAATACAGTGTATTTAAGATTTTTAATTTTCAGAGGTAATTCTCAACATGAAATCCTGAGATTTATGAGCAGCTGTAACACAGTGGTTAGCGCTCTTGCCTCAGAAGCTGGAGATCCGTAGTTCAACGCCACCTCTGGATAGATTTTATAAAATCGATAAAGATAGAGGCGTGAACTTCTTTTCAAATGCTCTTTCGCGGTACCCAGACAGCAAGCTTACATTGAACCAACGTTGGGCCAATGCTTGATGATGCATTGGCCCAACGTTGAAAGTCGATGTTGGCTCATTGCAGGTTTGATCATTGGTTAGGTATTGGCCCAATGTTGTGTACAACATTGGTCCAATGTTGTATACAACGTTTACCCAACATTGGCCCAACGTTGTATATAACGTTAGGCCAATGTTGTATACAACATTAGGCCAATGTTGTATACAACATTGGCTCAACATTGTATACAACATTGACCCAACGTTGTATACAAAATTGGCCTAACATTGTATACAACATTGGCCCAATATCGTATGTTATATATCGGCCTAACGTTTTATGCAACATTAGATCGTTGTTACAAATAAGATAATTTGCATCGCCACATTGAAAATTTATAGAGAAAAAAAAGAATGTATGATGCAAGTATAAAAATTTATTTATTTAACATAATTTATCTGTTAAATATACATATTGCAAACACTAAACTTAAACCAAAAACTGACACATTGAGTTTTAAATAAAAAAATTCACAATAAAATTTATAGAGTAGTTTCGATATTGGCTGAGCTACTTGTTATTGAATCGTGTTTAGCTTATGATATTTGGTGCCCACGATTATTATTTTTTCTTCCTCTATCTCTATCACATGTCTGCATAAGCCATGCTTATTTGACTTCACAGTTTCTGCAAAAAAAAAAAAGTTGTTTGTTTAATTATGCACCAAAGAAATATAACAAATTGAAAGTAATTCTGTAATGCAAAATTGAAACTGAAAAAATAAACTTTTCTAAACCACTTACCAATAGCAGCATATGCAATCAACATTTTTTCTATTCCAATTTTTTGTCCTCTCCCTGCATAGTTTAATTTTACGACTAGGCCATTTTAAAAAACTATTCTTAGCAAATAAAATATACAATCTCCTTTGTCTTTAACTCCAATTTGTGCCAAATAATTGACCTGCAAAAATACACAACCTGGCAATAATTAAAGTAACTTTTATTTAGACTCAAATTAATATAAAATGTAATTTACAAAAAATCTTCAAAGAGTATTTTATTTAAAGTATATAAATTGTACTAAGATATCATACAAAATGCATAAAAAAATTATAAAAAAATATTTTCCATTTACATACTTATTTTCTTTTCTTCCAGAGTACTTGAATTCTTCATTGCTTTTAATAGCAATGACACTCTTTCAGGCAATACAATAATTAGTATACCTTTGTTACTCAAATTTTTATAACTGAATTTGATGTATTTTGTAGTGTACCAAGTTGTACTTCAATGACGACTAAGAATGAACACTAAGAAAAACATAAGTTTCAGAAAAAAGATATACACAATTTTTTGTCTCTTCAATCTTTATTTTGACTGGTCATTTTCGCTGTCTTCCTTTTTTGTCTCCAGAGCAGAAATTTAGCCTTATGCTAAATTCAATCTTGTATTGCTTTAAAAATCTATAAATCAAATCATTAATAATTAAGTTATAACTAAAGTTAATGTATAAGCTTAAAGTTGTTAACTGTTGTACGCAAACTAAATATGAAAAATATCTAGAGATATTAAATTAAAAAATAATTAAACCAAGAATAATGTCCCTCTGCCTTGGAAAGATGGAATATTAGAAAACTTTACATAAGTAAAATATAAGTTCTAGTAACATCACTTTTTGTACACTGTTTTAATATGTTAGTAGATGGGGTTTCATAATCAAACACAGAAAAAATCAATCAAAAAAAACATATTTAAAATGTAAAATATCAGCTTCTAACAACTTCAATGCCACATACATATTATTGATACCTTTAACAATATATCTTATAATAGCTATATAATCTAAGCTATTATAAATAATGAAAAAAAAAATTATACTGTATGACATTTTAAATGTTTGATTTATTTAATAAAGAAGGCATTTAAAATATCGTTTTTATTAAATAAATTGAACATTTGAAATGTTTCATTTATTTATAAATAATAATAATAAATTTTATAAAATAATAATAAAATTTAATAAATTAAATTTAATAAAGATTATTAAATAAAACAAACATTTGAAATGCCAATACAGCAATAAAAATAAAAAAATAACTTTAAGATCTTACACAAAATTATTTGATTATTGCCTTTATTATTACATTAATAATTTAGATTGTAGTAAAAAATGTTTTAAGCATATTATTTAAATGTTAACAAATATTTCATTTAAAAAAACAAAACATTAAGTCACGAGAATCTCTTGAAGTTTACTTCTTATTAGAAGATTAAATAATTTTATTAGAAGATAAAATTTACTTCTTATTAGAAGATTAATAAATATAGCTTCTTTTTTTTATTTTTATAATTTAAATAAATGGAAAGATATATAATAGTATCAAAACCTTTTTTTATTCTGTCAAACGATACTATTTTTAAAAAATGTTTCGAAACAAATTAAAAGTATATACTAATCCGAAACTACATTAGGCCGGGTGAATAAAAACGAGCAATTGCTTTTACTCAGTAATTAGTCAGCTTTACGTGAATAAAAGCTAAAGCAATTTTTTTTAAGTTTTTATTTACGTAATGCCGAACAATTACTAAGTAAATTGCTTAACTTTACGTGAATAAAAATTTGATCAAAACTCAATATATTTTTATTCACGTAAAGCTGACCAATTACTGAGTAAAAGCAATTGCTCATTTTTATTCACCCGGCCTATTGGCCGAATATTGGCTACGGTATAAATGTAAAAACAGATTTTTATGGCAAAATATTAAGCCTAAACTACATTGGCCAAATATTGGTGCAACGTTGTACGATAATTGAAAAAAACCGATTTGTAGCAATGTTCTGCAATGTTACGCCGAAAAAAAAAATTGGCTAAATGTTGGCCCAATATAGTACGATATTTGCAAAAAACAGATTTGCAGAATTGAAAAAAATACGCCGAAAAAAAACATTGGCTAAATCTTGGCCCAACGGAATAAACTTGCCAATGTTAAAACTTACATTGGGCCAATGTAAGCTTGCTGTCTGGGAACCCTGTGATAAGACTATAAGAACTTCTTGGGGCACCTAAAAAAAAAATAATGATAAAAAAAAAGGAAATAATACAAATATTAAAGCCTATTTCAAAACTATTATAAATGAATACATGTTTTTATTTATAGAGAAAACTTATTTGACGTGTAAAGAAAAGCACCATATATTTAAGTCTGCGCATTATGATAATAATATTTCTAATGAGGCTAATGCATTATCTGGTCATATAAGTCAGTTCAACAACAGAACATATAAAAAATGAATTTTTTTAGTTCGGATTGGTTAAGACATTACGATAACCATTCAAATAAGTAAAAACCGAATGAATAGAAGCCAAACTTCCTTTTGATAGAAGAGCAAAATCAGCGCTATTATTCCTGTATAAACAAACATGTAGGCACGGGTGTTTTGAAATAAAGATCATCAATTAAGACCGTGAATTTGTGAATGAGCTTTTTAATGAATTTCAGAGGAAAACTCATACTCGTTAACGCATGACTAGTGCATACCATTCACAAGTAAATAGAACAAGGCAATCGAAGCAAGTAGAACGTCAAATTCAATCAATAAAACTTTTGTAAAGGTAGTAAAGGTAATAAAACTTTGGTAAAAATGGTAAAGACGCTAGAAGTTGCTACTCTTGAATTGCCATTTATTGTTAATGGTGTTTTGTTTTTAATGTGAGTTAGAAAACATAAAACCTGTTCTACAGAGTGACCAGAATTTGATTGACTATCATGATAATGTTACTCTGATTGACAATAATTCATATAACAAAAAAGCAATTTTAAAAACTTTCAACAAAATGAATGAAATGAAGAAGTGTGTTTTTAAAGAAGCTTACAAAAAAAATCCAAAAATCCAAGTCACAAATAAGGCAAAAAAGTGGATATGACTCTATAAATAGTATTGCTACTGAAAGAAAAGTATTGTTGCGAAGTTATAAACGTGATGAGAGAAAAGGTGGAAAACTTGTGAAGTCATGGATGGAACCATAAACGGTAATTAATATTTCAAGTGCAAATAATCGGATGTGCTTCATTTATAGAGGTACCCAAGTATACAGCAAGTATAGAGCTAAAACAAAATGGATAACCTACCCATACAGTTTACGGTCTAATAAGTTATGTGATTATTCTATACTTCTGGAAAATTCAACTTAAATCCACTTTGGATGCCCTAGTTAATGAAGCCATTGAACTCTATCTTAGTCAGTGGTATAAAGAAGCAGTTTGTATTGTCAAAATACGACAAAGTCACAAAATACATTTTGCCGCAAAATAAAAAAAAGTAAAAGTTTTATAATGCGAAAAAAAATTTAATGCTAAATTTTTACTGGGATGTAAAGTTTAATATGCGATTTTATATTGGGGAGTAAAAAACGCGCATATCAATATCGCAACCTACACCGGCAGTCGCATTCAGGTGCTAAAATTTATCGCTACGCGATAGTTTTAAACTTGTATGATAATAAATAGTCTTATACGTCATAACAAAACATTCTTTACTGAAAAAAAAATGCAAAAAATAAACCCAAATTCATTTCGTCATAAATTCTGTGCCATTCAACCTCACTCTCTAAAAGTACAAAGGAAATAAATTTTACCCAAAAAGTTTGTTTCGATGATTGACGTAACATTGCAATTTAAATGGTTAAAACTGGTTTAACTGGTTAAAAATAATTCCATAATCTCGAATAAAAATTAAATGTTGCTTTGAAAAACCTTAAGTTTTTACAGGTTTAATTAACAAAAAACACATTTATAATAAATGAACAAGAACTAAATCAATTACTAAATCTCAACTTAAAACTTTTTATTCAATAGATAATTTTTGGACATTAAAGTAGAAAAGCGCTCGCGCTCGCGCTTCAGCTTTTAGCGTGACATAAGACATAGTAAAGAGTTGAAGATTACTTATGCTAATAACTTGCTAGGGTGACTGCATAATGTTCGGACACTTCTTATTTATTTTTTCATTTTATTATCCAATGAAGAATGTACGGATCCAGTGGTATACATGCCTAAACTTTCGTAAGTCAGGGAGATGCAACTTTTTTTATTTTTATTTGTTACTTTATACAATTTTCAGGTCGTAAAATCTTTGGACCCTAAGTTATGGCAGGGTGAACATTATAGACAATCCCGCCCTATTTTTCTGTTGCAGTGTTTTAAAAAACACAACATTTAATACAATATTCTTTTTAACTCAAAATATTCATAAAATATTAATTCATAAAAACATCTCTCTTTAAATAGAAAACAAGTCGTTGCGCAATTGTTTGTTAAAAAAAGTCAGTTATTCAAAAATAAAATGTAAAAAATACGCTTCAAAAAAAAATTAAAAATTTTTTGAATAAATAGAATCAAAACATTAATAATGTAATAGTTTTATATAAATAATATAACTAATTAATATCATTTTTCCATTTTACTTAAAAATATTTAGAGAAGAAACTGCGTTATTGATGTTTTAGTTAATTTAAAAATAAAAAAACTGTTTATTTTTTGTAATTACGATGAATCATTTCTATGTTGAAGTTTAGAGGATTTTTTTATTTTTTCTAATAAAGTAAACGTTGTATTAATGTAAATTATCTATGTGATTCTAAAGTTTTTTTCGAAATATAGCGACATTTTTGCTCTCGTAATGCAACTTAAAACCATTCATCGATCTTACGTCATTGTAACACCCAATTGAAAAAACAGAAAAATTTAACCTATTTTAAGAAATAAACACAAGCTTAATTGCCCGCCATGTTTAACTTCTTATATCTATAAAGTTATATCAGAAAACCTTGTAGGTTGAGTTGTTTTAGTTAATAAAAAGTATCAATGACAGTATATCTAGGTTTAACAACTATTTTAACTAATTATTACTTGTTACTTTTGTGACAAGTTTAACATAATTTTGAGAGCTAAAGAAAAATAGCTCTAAAAAATTTGATAAAAATTCACAGCTTATTTTCATAGAGATTTTGCTAATATCATAATGAAATAACATATATTAAATAATATGAAATCATGGCAATCACTTAAAAAAGGTGCATTGTATAAACTTTTTTGTTGAAAGTTTGACAAATTTTTCGTCTACACTATAAATAATAATCTATGTATATTTTACATTATCTATATTTTATAAATGACATATTTTGCATAAGCCTAACTTTAACACTTTGCAGAAAACTTTCAATCATTTCCAATAAAAATTAGCTAGCGTAACAAACTTTTTTTCTCATAAATATATTTCTTACTCTAAAAAAGTGCTGCATACCGTCCATAACTTGTCAACGTAAGACTTGATGTACTTACAAAATCCTAATTTTGTAAATACACCAAATCTGGGTATTATTATAATTAATTACTGCAATATATTAATATTAATATATTGTTATAATATAATCAATCTATTATTGTAAGTATAAAAAACTTCTGGGGGTGAGTACCGAGATAAAAAGTTGGTTAATCTTACCTTCCTACATTTATATGTATACTCATGAATACATCTAGTATGTATTGATAAGTATGAATGTGGAAATTTACAAGGCTGTCTGCAACAGAACTATAGAACAATAATAAGAAGACTTTTTAATAATAAGAAGGGTTAATTGACAACATATTGAAAAGATTAAATCAAAATAAATGTTCATAATATTTTTAAATGCACAAATTTATTAGTTATATAACTCAAAAAATTTAATAAATAATAATAACAATAATAATAATAATAATAATAATAAAATGCCAAAAATATTTTTAAAGCGATTATTAAATTAATGATTATTTTAATCGTATAGGTTTGAATATCCATAAAAAAAAGTAAAGTAACACTGATAGCAGAATAAATAAACAAACAAAAAATAAACCAACAGTAGAAATGACTAAAATAAATACAAAATATATTCTGTGAATTTTTACATTTCCGTGATATTTTACATTTCATTGATTTGTTTTTTAAAAAAGCTTTTGATTGTTGTTTATTTTAAAACTTCCTAAATTTGCAGAAGGTTATGTTGTTACATTAATATATTTTAATGCCGCCTGAAGCCGCCTTTTAATTTTCACACTTTTAAAATTTAGAAAAAAGAATAAATCTAGGCTGAGTTTTAACATGACCCGTTTGACCAATCCTAAATAAGAAATTTCACTTATTTTTATTGCGCTTATTTAAATGGAAAGGTTACAAAAAGATTGAGCGACAATCGGTTACTTATTCCATTTAAAGATTTAATTCTCACTAATGGCGTAGCCGAAACTAAAAACGGTTCGTATCGTATTATATATGCACTTTCATAAAATTAAAAAACAAGTTTACATTTTAACTTTTATTATTATATATTTACAACAATATAACACACACACACACACACACACACACACACACACACACACACACATATACACACACACACACACACACACATACACACACACAGATATATATATATATATATATATATATATATATATATATATATATATATATATATATATATATATATGGTTGTAACTTATAAAAAACAAATTAAGTTTGTTTTTATTGCAAAGTTAAAAGCTTTTCTTGATGAAACTCCGTAAATATAAATTAAATTTGTCAAAGATAATGCCAAAAAAAAAATTAAAGGAATTTAACATTTAACATGGAATTAAACGGAGCGTGATTACGATTTGCATTTTTCCGTGAAACGCCCTCTGAAGATTTCTAATTTATGCAATGCGCTGCACTGGTAGCCATTATGAATAAATCAGTCTAGAAGGGAGAGTCGCTACTTTCCTGTTACAATTCAATTATATAAACATTTTTCGCTTCAAAGTTGTATATTTAATAGTTTGGTTTTTTTATTTTATTTTAATTTTTTATAAATTTTATTTGGAAATTCAGGTTAAACTTTACAAAGATGAACAGGTTTGTGTTTTATTATATTTCATGGTATTATTGAAATCCTTGATCTTCTGATCCTTATTTCCCGATCGCCAGATTTCCAGCATGTGCGATAGAAAATAGTACTAATATTTATAAAACTATAATCTTCCATACTAATAACGTATATTATTGCATTTGGTATTGTATATTTTTCATTAAGTTAGATAACTGCATGTTTATCTCTATCAAGAATTGTCTTCATATCTTAATAAAAAACCTCTCCTGTATATATTTTTAGGCATGTAAATATTTTTTAAACGCAACTGAAAAATCATATTCAAATCAAAAATACAATAATTAACTTATAATGCAGATGATTGCAGAAAACTTTCATTTTATTTCATCCACATGCACACACATGTGTGTATATATATTTATATATGTATGTATTCTAAAACTATAAAAAAAAGGAACTTTCGAGTATCCTCATAATATTTTTAATATCTCATTTTCTAATGGTATTTTCCCAGAGCACTTAAAAAATGCCAAAGTTATGCCTGTCTTTGAAACTGGTTCAAAACTATTAATATCAAACTACATACTAGTTTCCCTCCTATCTAACATTGATACTTTTTACTTTACTTTATTTCACTCTCACCTCACATGTTGCCTTTTATCATGGATTAAAAATATAAGTATTGTGAATCGCCTATTTATCATGCAGAAAAAAGCAGTAAGGATTACTGAATTTCTACCAAAAAATTCACATACATCGATATCTTTTAATGCATTACAAATTTTCAAAGTAAATGATATAATCAAAATTTAAAATTGTTTATTTATTCAAAGCTGCCTTAACAAAAAGCTACCTCCTATATTTAATAAATAGTTTACTCTACACAGTGCAATTGGCTGTCAATGTGTGTGTGTGTATACAACTCCCCGGATTTGAATCGGCATTTGGCTATGTCGACCTTACTGCCGACCTACATATATATATATATATATATATATATATATATATATATATATATATATATATATATATATATATATATATATATATATATATATATATATATATATATATACACACATCAAGCCTTCCCTAAAAGTGTTTATGGTCAGCAAAAATCGCCAACCTTGTTTGTATGTTTTATGGTTAAACCTTTGTTTTACATTTTTCCTGCTGACCTGATGCCGACCTCACATAGATTAAGGTCTGCAAATTATTGCCGACCTTATTTTTCCTAATTTCAAGGGCTATATATATAAATACATATATAAATATATATATATAAAAATATATATATATATATATAAATATATATATATATATATATATATATATATATATATTTATATATATATATATATATATATATATATATATATATATATATATATATATATATATATATATATATATATATATATATATACAAACACATAAAGCCTTCCCAGAAGCGCATGCGGTCTCACACCTTGTTTATCCACGTTTTATGTAGTTTTTTTAGACTAACTGACCACGGCAGTTTACATCTTTTAACTTATCAAGCATTTAAATAATTTGTGGCAAAAAGGTAAACTCATCTACTTAAAAAAAAACAACAAACAATCTTTAAAAAAGAAACAAAATTGATTAAACTAAAAAATTGAATAATTAAAAAAAAATATATATTTATATATTTTTTGTATTCTTTTTTTTAGATTCGTTGTTAAAAAAATCATTATCTTTTATAACGATTTAACAACAATTGAAAGCTTTGATATGCAATTTATTCACAATTTTTATCAGTCTATATAATTGAGAAACTAGTTTGCTATGTACGCTGGAATATTTTATTTTTACGTTTATTTGTTTTAATATCCTTTTGCGCCTTAAAAGGTTTTTGTTATATTTGATGTTTTTTCTCAATACTTATATAATAGGAAAATAAGAAAATAAATTGTTATTTATTTGTAAAAAATATTATTTGATTAATAAATTTTGTCAATGACAGAATAAGTTGAATAAAAGAATAACATAGTTTCTTTAATAAATATATTTATTGCATTTGATGCATTCTGAAATTGTTCCAACTTCCAATATTATTACGAATTACTAGAGATGATGAATATAATGATTGCTCTGTTTAAAATAATATATTTAAAACCTTGAACTTTTTGTTTAGGCTCCTAAAAATTTTGTTAAAAAAGTTTAGTAAATAATGAAATAGCATCGTTTCACTTTTTTACATAATTTTTTTACAAAAAGATGTTTTAAAAAAATTTACCAATAAATAGCTATTACCTTTCTCGCTTTCCTTTGCATTGATAAAAACAGTTAAGTTTAACAAAAACATCTGAAAAACAAATTTAAAAATTGTCAGTGTTTCTAGCGAAATTTATTAAGTATTTCCTTTATATGCTGACTAAAAAAAGTCGTGAAAAAATTCTATATCAAAAAATATTTTTGTTTTCCTTATATTCTTATGTACTTTTTTCCTTGACTTGTATCAATTTTGGTAGTGGAAAATAACAAACGCTCTAAAAATAAGAAAACAAAAACAGTAAATATTTAGGTATATTATTTTTTTGATAAAATTTTTTTTTTCTATCATTAAATTTTTTTAGCTTATTTTTCTTAGATTTTCTATTTCAGTTTCTTTAGTTCTTTTCTTTGAGTATTGCTGATTTATTCTCTAGTTTCTTATGCTTAATTTTGCTGCAATTCTTAAAACACTTACTATATAAAAATGTGGTCAAGTTGTCAAAATAACTTTAAGCATGGACGTACAAGGCGCGTGACTGTATGCGCTTTGCAGGAAAGCTTGATACATATATATATTGGTATAATATATATATATTTATATATATATATATATATATATATATATATATATATATATATATATATATATATATATATATATATAATATATATATTTATCAGGGATGCACTGAACCCAGTTTTTGGCCAAACACGGAATCCGAATGTTCAGCCATGAAAGTTCGGCCAAACACCAAATCGAATACCGAACTTTTGCTTTTTTTAAATATAAACATTGGTTTACGTCAAAAACATTTTGAAACATTAGATTTATTTGGAAAATATGTGTAGAAACTTTAAATAACTATCAAAAGTAAATTTATTATTAGATGATTGTTTGTAGTCACTAAAGAAGTAAAAATGTTAAGAAGTAAAAATGTTAAGTTTTTATTTGAAAAATGAAAAATTAAATTTGTGAGTATGACTTATTAATAATGAGTATAACTTATTAATAATGAGTATAAATAATTAACAATTATAATATAATAAAATTATATTGTAATTTATAAATTAAACTTCTTAAAATAATATTTTACATTAAGGATTTATTTTAATAGTTGTTAATTGTTAATGTTAAGGCCTAAAGTTAAGCTATTTAGCTAACTTTTATATTTGTAGACTATACTAAGAGCTTAGCTTATATGTTATAACATTTAAGCTAAATTTGTACTCTATTCTACAAATATAAAAGTTACCTAATAAAAATAAAGGTATAAAGGTATAAGGTATTAAAACCTAGTATCTGGCATGTTTTAAGAATATATTTTTTTCTTAAACTTTATTTATTTATTAGTATATACTTTTAATTATTTAGAAGCATTTAAAAGTACTGTTTGGAAATATTTTGAAGTTTCAAATAAAGATAATCATTTTTGTATTTGCCTACTATGCAAAGCATTACTTTCTAGAGGTGGGTATTGTCCTAAAACATTCACCACTAGTGCAATTAGACGTCATTTAAAAAACAAGCACTTTGCAGAATATAAAATAGCTGAAAAAGAGTCTGACAAAAAATGAAACATCTACAGCCTCTACATCAAGTGAATTAAAAAAACAATTAACATTACTGAAGAGTTTTAATAAAAAAAAGCTGTGGGATGTAAATGATCAAAGAGCTATCAAAACTCACTATCACATTGAAGAATTGATGGCGTTGGACATTCAACCACATTCAATTGTAGAAGATCTTGGTTTTAGAAAATTAATTAAAGAGCTGTGTCCTAATTATCAAATACCTAGTAGGAGATATTTTAGTGAAAACATTATTCCACAAATATATAATAAACTATTTAGTTCTATCAAGAGTAATATATCTTATGCCATTCATATCTCTCTTACAGCTGACATTTGGACAGCAAATAGTTCAAATGTTGCCTTCATAAGCATGAAAGCACACTGGCTCAGTAATGAATTTTCCCAGCACAGAGCAGTACTCAGAGTTATGCATTTTCCAGAAAGTCACACAGGAAAAAACATAAGTGAGTATTTACATAAAGGTTTAGTAAGTTTTGAAATTCCACACTCAAAAATTCATATTGTTTTACAAGATAATGCAGCCAATATGGTAGCTGGTGTAAGAGACAGTGGTTTTAGATCAATGCCATGTTTTATACATACAATATAGTTATGTATACATGACTCAATTCTGTTGCAAAAATCTGTTAAGAATATTTTAGCTTGTTGCAGACGTCTGGCAACTCATTTTCACTATTCCCCAACAGCAGCAGCAAAATTAGAAGCAATTCAGGAACAACTTGGTACAAATAAGCACAGGTTAATCCAAGATATTACTACAAGATGGAACAGTTCTTATGATATGATTGAAAGGATGCTTGATCAAAAAGTTCCTTTGGCAACTTATATAGCTGATCATCCTACCCAATCAACACTAAATTCATTTCAATGGGACTTATTAGATAAAGTGTTGCATATTTTAGAACCATTTAAAACTTTAACCATTAATTTCAGTAAACATGAATCATATTTGTCAGATGTTATTCCTTCAATTATGGCTCTGAAAGAATTTTTCAATCAAGCATTAGTATGTGAGGCTTTTTTAACAATAAATACTTTAGTTGAACATTTAAGTGGGTCAGTAGACAAAAGATTGGGCCCATATTTACATGATAAATATTTATGTCTTTCCACTTTTTGTGACTCTAGATATAAATTGACATATCAAAAGGAAGACAAGGATAAAATAAAAAATTGGATAAATGATAAAGATAAAACAGATGCAAGAAATGCAACAAAGTAATTTAGAACTTGAATCCTCTGATTCTGATTTTGACGAACCTTCAGTACATAACACAAATGAAGTAATTGCAAAACCAGCTTATCCAAAATTCAATGAATGTTTTCAGAAAGTTTCTAAACTGATAACTATAGATGAATGTGATTCTAATTTTGTAAATACTGAAAATAGCAAAAGGTTAAAAGGATAAAATTCTAATATACAAATGATAAACAAGGAGATTGAAGAGTATTTAAAGCTACCTCTTGTCAAGGAAAAAGAAAGTCCTCTCTTGTGGTGGAAAAATTGTGGAAACTCTTTTAAAAATTTAAAGAAAATTACCCAAAAGTTTTTTCCAGCACCACCATCTTCTGTTGAAAGTGAAAGATTTTTTAGTACAGGTGGAATCATTTACGAACCCAATAGAAACAGACTATCATCAGAAAGTGGCGAAAAATTAATGTTCATTTGTTATAACTTGAGGACAACAAATGATAATTGATTTTCACTCATGTTTTTAATGTTTTATTTTTTCAATAATCGATTATTTTGTTAGGTGAAAGTTTAAAATTGTTGATTTGCCTAGTATTAATACTATTGCATGTTTAGTTATATAATAATAACATATAAGTATATGTTATATAGTTATATAGTAATTAACTACATAATAAATTGGAGCATTTTTATGTTTTTGATCAACACAATAACATTTTTCCCTAAGTTTATTCCTTTCAAATAATTTTCTCAGTTCAACTAGTTGAGTAGCCAAATTACAAGCAACTTTCTTTATAAAGATTTTTTTTTTAACACAGCAGCAATAGGCGCCACTTAAAACAGACGTTTCTATCTGTTATTTTAAGTTTATTTTATATTACATTTTTGCGATTTTTCCATAATAAAAAATTTGCTTCTTGCATGAATTTTATAACTTAAGTTAAGTTTAATTATTATTATTATTGTATATAAAAGGATAAAATTAACTAAAATATTGCTCAATTAAAAGGAGTTTTCGTTTTATATTTATACTAGTACTATTTTTTCTAAATGATGTAAACTAGTTTTACATAATACATTCGGTTTTAAGTAATACATGTGATCAAATTAAATTTTAAATTCAAAAAACTTGAAAAACATATTCTTACCTACTATGCGTTGTAGATAAGAATCAGGTTTTCAATAAAAAGCCATATCTATTGGTACTGTAGCTATTTAGGCTGAGTTATGATGATTTGATGATATTAATTTCCAAATTAGCATTTTTAGCAAATGTTCAGCCGAACATTTGTCAAGGTTCGGCCAAACTGATGCATCCCTAATATTTATATACATATATGTATATATGTATTCATATATATATACATATATATGTATATATCTTCATATATATATACATATATATGTATATATCTTCATATATATATATATTTAAATGTATATGTATATATGTGTATATATATACATGTATATATATGTATATATATATATATATATAAACATATATGTGTGTATATATATATGTATATATATATATATACATATATATATATATATATATATATATATATATTTATATATATACATATATGTATATACATATATATATACATATATATATACATATATATATATATATATATATATATATATATATATATATATATATATATATATATATACATATATATATATACATATATATATATATATATATTAGGTATGTCCAAAAAAAAAAATTTTTGAATTCAACCTAGCACAGTATCTCATTTTGTTCCTTTGATGGAAACTAACTTTTATGCAAATTTTGGCATTTATATTTTGATATTTACAAGTTGCTCAATGGAGGTGAAGTTTAACAGTACAGATAAACTTGCCGCGGCTGCACTTTTTTGACTGAAATCTTCAAACTAGAATCACAAGATGATAAAATGTGATAGATACATTACTATTCATTTCAAAAAGACATACTGGTTATGACACAGACAGTGCAGACACAATCAGTCACACATTAACAATTTTTAATTTATCAAAATTAATATCAAAGAAATTAACAGCAATTTTTAAACATGTTCGTTCAGATTTTTATTGCATGCTCATTTATTGTTCACGTGTTCAAAGTTCAACTTATTTCAGTTTTCAAGCTTGCGACGTCTACCGAGGGGCATATGCCATCAGGGTGCTTTTCCGGTAATCTGGAATGCGCTTCCTGTTGTCCTCAACAACTTGGAGGAGTTTCTGCATTTCAGACTCTGTCTTTGTTATTGACTGGTTTAAAGAACTCATCAGTGCAATAGAGCGCTCGGCAGTATCATTGATAACCTTGAGAGAAGCAACAACAGCTTTGGTTTTTCGAAATGAAGCACTTTCTTCCCAACTCGGGGGCTCAAGTCCTGACAAGGTAGTTATGTCAAGTCCAAGTGACTGCAATGCAGCTGTTGATGATGATGTTACCAGTTCATGTAGTTGCTTTTTCTCCAACTCATTACATTTTGATACTGGAAACTTGTTTCCCCTGACACTCCAATCATCTCCACTGAGGATCATGGCTTCCGCAATCAACTTCTTTTCTTCATCAGATACTTTGCTGGAGAACAGTGAAAGAGGAACCATTTCTGTTCCAAGATACCACATGTGATTCTGCAATTTCTTCAAAGCTGCTTGTGAAACAATCTTGTGTACCTCAGCATATCTTTTTATTCTCTGAAACAGCATCAAATCATTCAATGGTGCATCACTTGCCACTGGACAAGCAATCCAAGCTGGTACATAAATGTGAGCTGCAAAAATGCAAAATTCAGACAGGTTTTTCACCTCAGTTGAAGTCAGTTTGAATTCATTCCTGAACAGGAAAATCTTCATGCAATATATGACCTTTGCCATCCATCTTGCCATATGGTAGGCACCCGGCTGTCTGAAATGATATGGCTTTCCACCAGCTGGATGGCTTGGTAGTGTGAAACCCAATATCAAGAGGCAAAGTTCAATCATTTCCTTGTAGTCCTCTCGTGGTAGATATGACGTTTGACCTGACAGAAAAGACAGCAAGAAAGAACCAAATTCTGCTCTGAGTTGTTGCAGCTGTGGAACTGTAAGTCGCGTATCATCAAGTGGAACAAAGTTCATTTGGTCAATAGTTGGCCAAGACTGCTGAAAACGTTCAAATAGAGCAATGTTTGGGCCACAGCTTGGGCCAAGCAAAACTGTGAACACTTCACCAATAATCACTTCATGCACGTGGTGTGGACAAGCTAAGTATAGAAGGTTTCTCCCAATTAGTTGTTCCGCTGATCCTCCAAAAACAGCTTGTCTTCATCGATTTTGATTAATGTACCTGTATCTTTGTGAGCAATATCAAAGAGTAGATTCAGTTTGTCTTTAAATGCTTTTTCTCTAGCTAGCTGTGATTCACTTTCTCTTCCTTTATTCTTCTTGATCAAACTGTATTCATCAAAGCATACCTTCACCTTTGACACGATATGTGGTTGATAGGTCATTGGTATCCGTGCCTTGCTCCAAATTTTTACCAAATCAGATGAGGTTGACTTTGCACTGGCAGATACTGTCTGTTTTATTGTTTTGTGGTAATGGAAAAATGTACGAAGAACATCGCCCGTTGTCGGAAGGACATTACTCGGTAGGTCCTTTTCAGGTTGACCAATCAGCCAAACAGCAGTTCGAGTGCGTGTCAGTGGTACAGCGTTTGACTTTGCAGCCATTTTCAGCAACAGTCTAAAATTAAGATAGAAGCATTTTAGAATTAATAACAAGATAGGCCTATTAATTCAATGAATTCATATAAAAATGATTTATTAGAATATATTTTATTATTTTTATAATGGATTCGGATTGTCACAAATAAAGTTTGAAACCCTACTAATGGTTCAACACAGCATTAAGCAGGTTGTCTATAGTTCCTACAACTGTTTAATAGAATGATCAAATAAATATGAAATCAGCACAAAGTAAGAAACTAATTGAAACTATTATAATTACCTTTATTGAGAGTTTACATCAATGTATTAAATAAATTCTGTATAAATTCACAAGTTTGCTGAAATAATTCTCATTTGCTACATTGACAATGACATCATCATAGAATATCTAAATTCTTAAAACACTAAATAAATAAGTAATGCAAATGCAATGGTGCTTTACAGTCAGTAACCTTATCATAAAGATTGGTCAAATGGACAGATTATTTTCTGTTGTTACAATTTTATCGCGGACTCGCGGGTAACCCAATGCTGATGCATATTGAAAAACCTTTGGGGCCATTGAGCAACCCCTAAATATTAATTGATTAGGGATCTTTTTGGAAACATGACTAAATATTGAAAAACGAACAAAATGAGCCTATGTGCACTAAAATCGGAAGAAATTTTTTTTCCTCCATGTATATGTGGACATCCCTAATATATATATATATATATATATATATATATATATATATATATATATATATATATATATATATATATATATATATATATATATATATATATATATATATATATATATATATATATATATATATGTATATATATATATATATATATATATATATATATATATATATATATATATATATATATATATATATATATTCAATACTCAAATATACTCAAAATAAAAATAAAATAAAAGTGCTACCGCTATGTTTGATATATAATTTAAAAGAGGAAATGAAACTCTATTATAGAGTACCCTTATTTTTTTTACAGGATGTTTATTACTCATTTTATACCGATTAACACAAAAAAGCTAATTGATAAACTTGATTTTATTTTGTTCATAAATTTAGATGCACAATTAAAAAAGTCTTATATCTTGTTAATTGATAGTTAATTAGTAGTTTTTTTCTTATATTTCTCATTAATAGGCCTAAATTAATTGATTTTGTCAAAAAACCTTATATAAATATGACTTACCTGGAATTATTTAATCATTATTTAATAAATAAACAAAAGTTAAGTTAGTTTTGCACTAAAAAAACGTAAAAAATGGGCAAAAGACGTATCACTCAAGGTGAAAGATGGCAAATTATTGCGCACATCAAAGAAGGAACCAAAAGTAATTGAGAAATCGCCAAGTTAATTGGAGTTTCTGAGAAATGCGTTCGGACAACGAAACAAAACTTTCTTCACACTGGTGGTGCCAGCGAGAAAACGAGGCCAGGTAGACCCTTGTCAACCACGAGAAAGGACGATAGTGTTCTTTTTAGAGCTGTCAGAGCTAATCCAAGAATTAGTTACAAAGAATTGACCACAGAGTTCAATACAACGCGAAATACATCTATTTCTCAAAGCACAGTCCGCCGAATACTTATCAAATACAAGATTAAAGTCTACACTGCTTTGAAGAAACCGCTTCTGCGTCCATATGATAAACAAAGGAGACTGAAATGGTGTTGTGAAAGAAGGTATTGGACAATAGATCAATGGGAAAACATTATGTGGAGTGATGAGAGTAACTTTGAGCTTATCAATCGCAAATCTAACATAACAGTCAAAAGAATGGCTCACGAAAAGTATTACGCCAGGTACATTAGACCAACTGTACAAAGTGGAGGAGGCTCGATAGGAATCTGGTCATGCTTCAATTACAAAGGTGTTGGTATGTGCCAAACATACACCAGAAGAATCAACTCCAGAATATACGTAGAAGTACTGGAAAACAACCTAATTCCATCAATTGACCTGCTTATGCTCAATGATAAACCATGGAAATTTCAACAAGATAGCGCTACTGCAGATACTGCATACTATACAAAGGAGTGGTTCAACGATAATAATATTATGACAATACCGTGGCCTCCATATTCACCTGATTTGAACCCGATTGAAAACATTTGGGCTTGGATTGATCGTGAATTAGCAAAGGTTCAAATTTCCACACTTGGTCAGCTGAAGGAATTCCTTAAGGAGACCTGGTATGGGGTCCCAGAAGCGATGTGCAAAAATCTTGTTGAGTCTATGCCTAGAAGAGTTCTTAGTTGTATTAAAGCAAAAGGCGGATACACAAAATATTGATTGGTTCATAAATTACGCCTTCTAATGTATCGTGCGTCTAAATTTATGAATAATTTTTTTTGTCTAATTTTTTTAATACCATGTAGTTGTACCTAATTATTACTTAGTATTTTATTTTTTTTTGTAAACTTTTTTTAAATTTTGTATTCTGTATGTATTTATCTGATAAATAGAAAAAAAACTAAACCGAAATCTTTTTTCGACATTGTTTTATCGTTAAAATACCTAAAATTTTCTATTCTCAAATATGAGTGCGTCTAAATTTATGAAAACCACTGTATATGTATATATATATATGTATGTATATATATATATACAGGCTTCGGCGGGAGTAAAGCTCTCCTAAAACGATCATGGTGAGCCAAGCGAGCTGCTCCACTAAACTGCTTTTCACAAGAGCTTTTGGTTTTTGCACAAGCTATCTGTTTATTTATATAAAAATTGCTTATTAAATACAAAGTTTGGTTTTATACTTGTTACAAGCATATGTTTGTAATGATAATGTTACAATAATATACACATAACAAGCGTCATTTATTGCGGCGTGAAAAAGTTATATATATATATATATATATATATATATATATATATATATATATATATATATTTATATATATATATATATATATATATATTTATATATATATATATATATTTATATATATATATATATATATATATATATATATATATATATATTTATATTTATATATATACACACACACACACACAAATAGTATTGTGTACTAAGGTAAGCAATCTGACGTCATACTGAAATAGCCTGCTGCTGGGGGCTTCAGTACATACATCGACTGAAAAATAGCCTGACTCACAGTGGAGTGCTGCTACATCGACTGAGGGTTTGGGATGGGGAAGCAATCATTTTATTCATCATTCTTCATTTTTTCTTCTTCTTTTTCAAAAAAAACGGTATAGCTTAAGATAAGCAGAAAAAGTGAGCAATGCTTATCAAAACACGCTTTAGTAAGTGTATATATATATATATATATATATATATATATATATATATATATATATATATATATATATATATATATATACACTTTTGCTTGGTTTTTGCATTTTTAATTTTTACCATAAAATGTAACCTTTATGATTAAAAGAGAAAATTAATTTAGAAGGCCAGAAAAAGTTTAAAATTAAGTAATAAATTACCTGCCCAAACGAAAACCTTCAGTTGATGTAGCAGTACTCCTCATATGTTGTAACTATCAGTTAATGTAGTAGCACTCCTGGCATGTTCTACCTATTTGTCTGTCAAGCTCACATAAAAAAACTGAAAGCTCTTGTAAAAAGATGTTAGATAAAGGAACTTGCATAGTCATTCCATGTTCATTTTAGGAGAGCATTTCTCTGCTCTCACACTGATTTGCTTTGGCGAAAGCCTGTATATATATCAATTTGCATGTGTATTTAAATATACTTAGTTTATATATATATATATATATATATATATATATATATATATATATATATATATATATATATATATATATATATATATTCACATATACATGTATTATTTGTATATATATATATATATATATATACATATATATATATATATATATATATATATATATATATATATATATATATATGTATATATATATATATATATATATATATATATATATATATATATATATATATATATATATATATATATATATATATTCACATATACATATATTGTTTGATTGCAATACATTAGTTTTGGTTTTGACTGTTTTAACAAATTAGTTTATATGTATTGTATATAGCTACTGAGTAATATCAAGAATTTCTTTGTTAAAAATTTAAACATTGTTATGAATTTTTGAAAGATATCTTTTAAGAGTTTAATATATATATATATATATATATATATATATATATATATATATATATATATATATATATATATATATATATATATATATATATATATATATATATATATATATATATATATATATATATATATTATACTTGATAACGATGGTATCTATACTCCCTTGAATTTTTTATATAAAAATTAATTCAAAAAATAGTTATATCCATAATAAATGTTTCTATTTAATTAAACATTGCTATGATAATTTTTTTTTATTAGAATGTAAATTGATTGAACAACTAAAAACAAAATGTCTAATCTTATTGTTATCAAAGTAAACCTTGAGGCATTGGAAATTGTCAAAACATTCCAGGTAATTTAATATTGTTTTATGTAGCAATAAATTATCTTATTTATTTACAATAAATTATCATATTTTTCTCTAAAATATTTATCAGTTTTTAGAAGGTAACAATTATTAGTATTGGCATTTTTTTTTTTTTTTGTTTCGTCAAGAAAGGTATAAGTGATGTTTTTAATCATTGTACAATGGCGATGTGACAAACTTTTTTAAAAAGTTAACTTTTAAATCAAAATCAAAGGTGAATTATGATTTTTTTTGTCGATGGAAAAAATCTTTCCATCCTTGAGTCCTGAGTTTAGTTAGCAACAACTATAAGTACAAAAACACTGATGCCAAAATGGTAATAATGGTAATGATGATGATGACATGGAGTATGGTGATGCTGCTGATTTTTTCATTACTATCTGTTATAATTATATTTTTTTAAGATATCATTTAACATGAAAATCTCTTTTATTATTTTCTATACTTAGAATATATTTAGTACTAAAATATTCAGGCTTGGTCAGGAAGCGGGTGTGATCGCACTCGATAATTGACCACGGAAATAATATTTAGTTGCGTAAAACCGGCCAGATTTTTTAGTGGTTTTGAGAACATTTCAAAAACAAACAAAAAAGCGCAACAAGATTAGCTGGACCGTTGAGAAACAGTTAAAAAAAGAAAACAGCTTTTAACGCAAAAAATCTTTAAGCAAAAATATACGATTAGAGCAAATATTTTTGAAACGTAGTTCTTTTATATTTTTTTTATAAAATTAGGCAACATTTTTTTTATATAAAGTAACAACTTACTATTAATGATTGTTTAATAAGGAAACAAATGTTGTGGCACATAATAAATGCCACTAAAATAATGCAGCCCGCGGCCCTGAAAAGTCCAACAAGATTTAACCAGTAAAGCTAATGCTAGATGATTTATTTATAAATCAAAAGGTTTTTTAATAACTGTTTTATGCTTCGCGTAGTTTAAAATGTTTAACACATTTGAAACTATTCTTTTTAGTAAGATGAACAAATGAAATAATTAAATCATTGAGTTACTGTAGAAATTCAATTAACTAGATAGAAATTAACTAAAAACATTAAATTACTTAGTGAGGAGGCAGGGAAACAGCTTCACATTACCGCTGATAATGTTTAGTGAGTGGGCTTTATAATTTTAATTAGTATTTAAAACAGAAAAGAGTTAAGTATAACGAGTTTGTAAGAATGGCTGAAGCAAAAATAATTGAAGTTAGTTAACCAATTTCTAAGAACTTAAAAACTTTTCTGTCTAAGAACTTAAAAACATAAATTTAAAACATTTATTTTTGCAAACAATTAATGTTAGTTTAAAACATTTATAGCTTTGTAGATGTGGCTTCGAAAATGACATAGTATTAAAATAAAAGTTCGTTTGATAGTATATTGTTAAAACAATTTATACTAGAAATCTCGACGAAAACATAACAAAACTCAAATAATACAACTTTTTAAAAAAATTCAACAAAATACTCTAGAACATTCGGTTTGTATTTTTTGAATACTCTAGAAATTTCCGCTAGCATTTTTTGAACCAATAGAATTAGTTGTTAGTAGGTTTGGCGGATTTTTTGTGTTCGCGAATATTCTTTTTTTTATTTTTCCGCACAAAGTTTGAGAACATTTGAGTTTATGTATGTTTCCGTATAAGTCTGTAATACAAAAGATTTATGATAACTTAATAATTATTTTGCGGACAAACAAGAAAACATACATGGACTTAAATGTTCTCAAAGCGACTAAAAAATCTGGCTAGTTTTTCGCAACTAAATATTATTTCTGTGGTCAGTCAGTCAGTCGAATGCGATCGCACCCGCTTCCCGACCAAGTTTGAACATTGTTTTTTAGAATTGTTCATTATGTTTTTAGAATTGTTTATTATGTAGTAAATTTTTAGAATTGTTTATTATGTAGTAATTTTTTAGAATTGTTTATTATGTAGTAAATTTTTAGAATTGTTTATTATGTAGTAAATTTTTAAAATAAGATTAAAAGAAACCTGGATTCTTCTGAATTTTTGGAACACAATTTTTGTTTTTTAAAATTAAATTTTTTTTTCTCAAATAAAATTTTATAAATGTTTTTAGTTTGAACCATCTTCGACTATTCAAGAAGTCATCAATTTAACACGGCAAAAAATACCTGAAGCTGCTCCAAAACCGAGTAAAACCCTCTTGTATTTAACAGTTTTAACTTTTTGTTTTATTAATATTTTTAGCCCTTTTTTTCCCTTTTTTTTTATTGCTATTGTTTATTAGTATTTATAAATGTTTATGAATTTTTGTTTTAAAAAAGATTTTAAACAATTAATTTTCCATACTTGTTTTTCTGTGTTTTTCAATAAAAATTTTTTTTTTTTAAAAAACAGATCAAAACTATGGAATCTTTTATGTTGACCAAAACGATGTTTTAAAAAGTCAATGGCTTGAGAATGATAGGACTCTTGAATTTTATGGAATAGTTAATGGGGTAAAAAAAAATATATATATATATATATATATATATATATATATATATATATATATATATATATATATATATATATATATATATGTATATATATATATATATATATATATATCAGCGACATATCCAGGCCAACTTTGATACCGGTATACCGGTATGGGCCCCCAAATTTCAGCCCAAACTCAATTTAAAACAATTTTATATTAGCACCCATAAAAATAAAATAAAATAAATTTTTATTACTTATTGTCTTGCTGTTTTGTGAGAAAATTTGTTATGATAATTTTTGTATTAAAATTTGTTACGTTGGTAATGTCCATTAGAAAAACTAACATTTAAAACACGTTGGTAATGTCCATTAGAAAAACGACTTTTAAAACACATTTTAAATGTATTTTAAGTCAATCAGAATGCTTTATTTGAATTCACATTGATGAAATATGAAATATGTTACAACTGGATTAAAATGTAAAATGCATGTTTTGATTAGATTTAAATATGAAACGTTCAGCATTTTTTAATTAAAAACTTTAACATTTAAAAAATTCTCTAATTTGAGTTTCTCCTCCGCTTATGTTTACTAAATTTTCAAAGCGATTATACTATATGAGCTTTAAACTTTTTCATTTCAAATAACAGTAAAATTGCATTAAAAATATTTTAAATAATAAAACAAATAAAAGTTTTTAAAACATAATAATATTATAATAATTGCGCCAAAAACTTGATTTGAAAAATAAGAGTAGAACAAGAAAAAAAAGTTAATAATTTTTGAATGAATTAATTAAAATTTTGAATGAATTGACCTTGTTATGCAATAAATACGCTATCTAATAAATCTTTTTAAGCCTATATAAAAGAAACATAAATATATTGTTTATTAAATGTTTTAATTATTGCTTGTTTATGAAATAATACTCTTTATATTAGTAAGCGAAACGACGTTGGTGTTAAAGCCGTCATTTTGTAATAAATGTTACATTATTTTGGTTAATTGTTTACATTTTTATTAGGAAAAGCTTAAAATACTAGGGCGAGTTATATAACAATAAATAATTATATTTAAATTTGTGTTTAAATAAAAAAAAACCTCTTAAGGTAGACAAGATTTTTAGACCGGTATGCCCGAAAAATTTCTGGATATGTCACTGTATATATATATATATATATGTGTGTGTGTATATATATATATATATATATATATATATATATATATATATATATATATATATATATATATATATATATATATATATTTAAAATATTTTAAAAATAAAATTTTAGTTGAAAAAGTTAACTGTCTTTCTGAGATGCACATTCCTTTGATAAAGTTTTTAATCTGATAATTTCTTTAGACTGAACTCATATATCGAGATAAGCACAGATATTTAAAAGTCAAAATGTTGGATGGATCTGTCAAAACAGTCATGGTAAAATGTTGTTTATTTAATAATGCTTTTTATTTAATAATGCTTGTTATTTTTTCCTCTAAATTTTGAATGGCTCAACAAAAATTAAATAAAACAATAAAAACAAATTCCTTGGTTTAAATATCACTTTTTTAGCTAACAATTTTGTAAACCCAATAGGTTTTAAATCATTAAGTTAATATTCTTTTATCTAGTTGCACAAATTATATTTGCATCTATTTTAGTTTTTATATTTTTTATTAGTATTAGGCTAGAGCTTAAACTTTTAAAGGAAAATTAAAATGGTAGCTATTGAAACTTCTGTTATAACCAATAATAAATAAAAATTGGAACAACTAGTTTTTTACTAAACTTTATTTCAAAAATATACATCAAAATATATAGTATAAATATTTTGCTAAAAAATAGTGCACATTAAATTTTACTTTATATTACATCTAAAAAAAAGGCAATAAGGCATAATGATATATTATTTAATAAATGGTATTTGGAAACCTAAATAATCTCTTGTCACAACAAAGTAGTTGGTAAATTAATTAACTTGAGTTTTTGTTTTTGCAATAAGTTAAAGTTTTTATTCGATATTTTGCAACTAATGTTTGTTTAGTTAAAAAAAAAATAGTTGCAAAGGCGCTATATCAAATTCATGAAATCATAATAATGATAAAAATTAACATGTTTTTATTCATTTATACAAATGTAGAGAAAAGAAAGAAACTATTTTTATATTAAATATATGTAAAAAAAATGTGATATTAAAAAAGAAATTAAGTTAAAATAAATAATCCATAAATATTGACAGAACATTTCTACATTGTTTCTGTTAAGTTAATTTTGTACCAATGCAACCGCCCTACTGCAAGTAATAGGCAGGATTTCAAATAAAAATTTTAAAAATAATTGCAATTAGATTTTTTTGTGTTAATCTGAGCGCTCATACATATTTCTGTTTTTTACATCTATTGTTAACTGCTTTTTTGTTGTTATCTTTCCTTTCTTGTGCTTTCTCGCTCTATAACTTTATTCCTTGTTTTCTGTTAACTCCTAACTTGATATTAGTTTAAAAAAATAATAATAATCAGAAAACGTTAATATTTTTTTAGATTGACGACAGCCAAACTGTTGGTGTTGTGTTAGAAACAATATGTGAAAAAGTTGGTGAGTCAATTATGAGACAATTACTTACTTTTGTTGGTAAATTATCAACTTTGTTTCTATTCACAGCAAATATTTTTACAATTGTACAGGTATAACAAATGTTGAAGAATATTCACTGTTTATTGAAGAAAGTAAAGATGAAAAAAAGGAAGAATTTTCTACAGGAACTATTGGAAGAAAGGTATTTTTTTTAAACTTTTGATAATATTCATATTAGAAATACAGTTATTACACATTTGTAAAAATAACTTTTTTTATGTTTTATTTTTTTTTTTAATTTTTTGCAGGATAATAAATCCGTAAAAACTAGTACTTTACTTAAAGTTGAAGAAAGAGACAAACAAAAAATGAGAACTTTGAAAAAAAAGTTGCACACTGATGATGAAAGTAAGATTTTTTGTTCCTATGGTATTTTCATCATTTCGCGTTGCTAAGTCATTTTTTTATTTTTAGCACTGTAAAATCTTCATTTACAATCTTATTATATTTATACAAAAATAATGCATATCGCACAATTTGTTTATTATTGTTACCTGATGTTTAAAAGAATTTACTTTTCATTCATTTCAAATAGTTTTAACTTAATTATTATTTTTAAATAATTTTTAACGAAGTTTGCATTATAATAAAACAGTAATAGTAGTTAAATTAAATAGAACAAAAAACTTCAATTAAATGATAACTAATATGGTAACTAGCAACTATTTCTAACAAAAACACTGTATTTGCAGCTGTACAGAGAATTCAAGAAGTAAAAGAAAATGTTTCAATGAACATTGTGTATAACTCCTTGAAAACTTGATGAAATAAGTTTGTTCACATACTAACTTATAAAAAGGTTCAGAAAACTTTACTTATAATGCTCTTTTATTGCTAAAGTTACTAACATTTAATAACTGAGGTTATTAAATTAAAGAAAAGTTATAAAGTCATACTTACTCAAATTTTTTCTTTTAAATTTTTCCTTCTTGCAATGTTGGCGTTTATACTATCAAAAAGCTTTGTTGTTAAAGATGTTGCCAAGACTTAAACAAAGTAAATTTTTTAGACAATATAAAAAATAGTTCAAATTGTGTATTATCTGAGAGTATATATATTTTTAAATGTACTATTTATTCCTTAATGGTCAACTTAAAACAAAATAGTATAAATATAGTTGTCAACTTAAAACAAAATAGTATAAATTAGGGTTGTTCGCCGAAAAACAAAACTTGCGAAAATTTCGCATCTTTATCTACCGTAATAGAATTGTTATTACGGAAGTTGCACATGCGAAAATGCACATTCCGTAACGCGCTATACGAAAATATAAATAAATAAAATTCCGTAATAAAGCATTGCAAAAGAAAACTTGCGAAACAAATCATTTCGTAAGAATACTTACGAAATAGTTCCTTACGGAAAAAGCATTCCGGAATGTGTAGTTACGAAAAAGACGCAAAAGATTTTATGTTACGATATATTTAAGATATTAACTGTTAACAGTTTAAATAATAAATAATAAAATTATAAAAAAATGTTGTCAAATGATTCTTCAAATGTTTATACAAATATACCTAATATATATATATATATATATATATATATATATATATATATATATATATATATATATATATATATATATATATATATATATATATATATATATATATATATATATATATATATATATATATATACATTAACGAGATTTTACTGTATATATATATATATATATATATTTATAAATATATTTATATATATATATTCATATATATATAGTCTTGCATGTCTCTTGCGTAGCATCAAAATATATTTCCCATAAACTGTAGTTTTAAAGAGCGCGTTAATAAACCAGACCAGAAAAAGTTTTAAATATTAAATTTTTTTTTTTAATTGATAGACTGCCTGGCCAAACCAAACCCTCAGTCGATGTAGCAGCACTCTCTTGCGAGTCAGGCTATTTGTCAGTCGTTGTAGCAGCACTCCCTTGCGAGTCAGGCTATTTGTCAGTCGATGTAGCAGCATTCCCTTGCGAGTCAGGCTATTTGTCAGTCGATGTAGCAGCACTCCGTTGCGAGTCAGGCTATTTGTCAGTCGATGTAGCAGCACTCCGTTGCGAGTCAGGCTATAAGATAGTCGATGTAGCAACATTTACGCATGTTTAAAAAATGTTTTTTATTAAATCAATAACAAAAACACCACTAATTAAAAAAAACTTTCTAGTCGTTATAATTGCGGTTTTTTAAAAATTTTTTAAAAAACAATTAAATTTAATGTACTTCCGCATAAATTAATTGCTTTGACATTTCGATGACAATCAAAAACAGCTTAAGAGACGAGGTAATTAAAATTGTAGTCGTAAGAGACTTTTTTTACATTAAAATGCTCTTAAAGCGACACTATATGAGTATATATATATATATATATATATATATATATATATATATATATATATATATATATATATATATATACACACATTAACGGGATTTTACTGTATATATATGTATATATATATATATATATATACTTATATATACAGTAAAATCCCGTTAAGTTGGACTCTCAATGAATAGATAAACAGTATGCCTTTCTTTTTAAAAAGTATAAAGAGGATGTGTGATAAACAATTAAATACTTTATTATAAAGAACGAGAGATCTCTCTAAAGGTAAATGATATCAGAAAGAGTAAAAAGAGAAGAAATATATGTGAAACAGCGGGATGTGAACCTGGGTCTACGCGGCCAAATGTCTTAACTGAATGAGCTATACGTTCATTCAACTAAGAGAATAGTAATATTTATTTAATATATAATTTGAAACTATATAAAACAGAATTTACAGAAAGAGATACGTATGCAAATAGGATTCTATATATCAGGAAAATGAATAGTAATGTGAACCTTTAGATGCTTATAATTAATATCTGGACTCAAAAACTAGTTACTTTTAATGGAACACAATAGGCTGTAGGAGCCTCAGGGAAATTATATTCAGAAATGGTTATATTAGACTCAGAGTTAGCTAGAAATTATTTCAAAGTATTTAGGACAGATGTCTAGTACAAAAAGCAAAAGATTTAAAGCAAAATGAATTATATTATTTGAAAAAATTGTTTTACGTACATTTCATCATAATTTAAGTAGAACTTAGTAAAGCAAGGGAAACGTGTTGAATTAAGCACAATGAACTCAATCTTAAAAGAATAACTAACAGAAGAGAGGTTGTCACTATTGTGAAGGCGACGAAAGATCTGTAATATAGAACATGGAGGTCAAAAAATGCTATCTTAAGTAAAAAGAGTTTGATGAACAAAAGTTACAATGGCTGCGGGATGCGAACCCGGATCTCTGCGGCGAATTATCACGTATCTAACTGATTGAACTATACAATCTTATACTCAAATTTATATCTTATTAAAATTAAAAAACAAAATTTTCTATGATCTATACTTTGAAAAGCGTATTCAAACAGGACTCTACATACCTTTAAAATCTGCTAGAATTTTAGTAACGTGCACACTTTTAGAAATTATTGAAATAGGTATATTTTATCAGAAATATGCTTAAGCTAAAGCATATTTTTGAGCCTCTTTTTACTATTTGCTTAAGCATATTCGAACCTGTTTCAAAAATTTCATATGCTTTAAAAAAAAAACATGTTTATTCCTACCCATCATTCTTATTTTTAATATACGTAATGAGTTCAAAAAACATCGTTGTATATATTTATTATGGCACGTTTCGTAAGTTTATTTCCGTTAAGAATTCTTTCGTATGTTGTGATCCGAAATACTTTCGTTTCGAAAGAAATTTTATTTTTTATCAATATTTCTAAAAATAAAACCGTAAAAATTTAATAAGTTATTTTACTGAAAATAAAAATTCATTATAAACATTTTGGGATTTAAAGATGTTAATTTTTACAATTAAAATCAGTCTGGCAAACAAATTTTCTTTATAGACTTTAAAACGTCGTTTGGCAAAAATGTTTGTTTCGCAAGTGCGACTTCCGAAACCGCTACTTTCGTATGTTGCAAAATAGTTTTGTTTCGTATGTCAACTTGCGAAATGCTAAATTTCGGAAGTGGCTTTTGCGAAATGAACATCGGCGATTTTAAATGTTTTGTAACATTCGGTACGAAAAAATGTAATTCCGTGTTTTCAATCTCCTTACGAAAGAATGTTGTTTTTCCGGAATTGCACGAAATCCTCCGGTTAACAACCCTAGTATAAATATAGTATATTGATCTGTTATTTAATTGAACTTTTTAAATTGAGTTATTGAACTTTTTAAAGCAGTTAATAATAGATAAATGTTTTTATTAGCAAATTGGCTAGGTCATGATAAAACATTACGTGAAGCTGGTGTACAGGATGATTCAATGGTAGTTTTAAGGTAATTTAAGTTTATTTTTCAATAGTTAATAAAAATTGTTTTGATTTTATCAAAGCCACTGTTTATACATTTTTTTTTAATATTTAGACGAAAATACATGTATGAGCAAAGTGTCAACATTAAGAATCCAGTTGAGATAAATCTGCTTTATGTTCAATCTCGAGATGCTATACTTAATGGAACACATCCTTGTACAATTGATGAAGCCATAAAGGTTCATTATGTGTTTTTTGTTTTATAACTAGTTTTATTTCACATTTCCAGCATGAGTTTCTTTGTTGACTTTCTCTAGATAAATCAGTTATTACCAGTAGCAGTTTTTTTTTCCTTTTTTTAACTATACAACATCAAATGAAAAGTCTGGACAGGCTGCAGTAAAACAAGTTAAATGTTTACAATATGCGCTCTGAACCATTATCATTAATATTTACATCACTTGTTATTGTGGTTAATAGCCAAATTTCAGTTAAACTTGTATTAAAAACATATTCGAGATTTACAAAATGCACAATTTAACTAAAACGTTCAAATTTGTTGTAATTTTAATAGTGACCAAGGTTTATGAAGTAATCCTGATTACCTCAAAATCAGCAATTTTACTATAACGACCAAGGTTTAAGAAGTAATGATTACCTGTAAACCAGCAGTTTTAGATGCAATATTTTTATTGGCTATCTACCTATTAACAAAGAAAAAATATAAATCCCCTATTTGACTGTAGTGACTTTTGAGGTTATCGAATTTAAAGCAAAAAAAAGATTTTTTTTTATGTTACTTAAAATTTGATAATAAAATTTAATTTAAATTTAAATTATATTTTATAATAAAAATAAATGTTTAAACAATTTAAAAATGTTATATGTAAAAGCTTTTAAATAGTTTAAATAAGATTAGTTTAACATTTATTTAACAATCATTAGAAGTAATTTTTCACATAACGTAAAAGCGCTTTGCGTAACTTTAATTAAATGTTTCAAAAGATATATTTTTAAGTACTTTATTTTTAACGCAATTAAAAACATAACAATAGTAATTTCTTCTTGTTTTTATAGTATTTCTGCCATTCCTGCCCAAGCCTAAATCTATTCATTGAACTGAATAGATTTAAAAATCTATTCATTGTAAATTCTGTAAGTAAATCTCAAATCATAAATCCAGTGAAAGATGGTTTAAAAGTAAATAAAAAAACAGGAAAAACCAAGAAGAAACTTTTTGGTTTACTAAAAAAGAATAACAAGCCAAAAAGGTGAGAATAAAAAATAGTTACAAAAATGTGAAAATTTTTAGAATACTGTACACAACTCACCTCTGCTTGACTGACTCAAAAAGATGTCCAGAGTTCACAAGGTCTTGGTAATACTTGTTTAAGTTATTCAGGAAAGACTGTGGTTATGAAAACTACTTTTATTGATGATGAGTTAACTAAGTTAAGGTAATTTGCACAAAAAGAAGTTAAGATAATTTGTACAAAAAGGTATTAGTCTTTAGTAAACTAGTTAAAATGTTCCCTTTTTAAGTGTTTATCCATTATATATTAGCGGTTGTCTAACAGCTGAGTGATAAGAAGTAGGTCACAAGATTTTTTGTATCAAGAATCTGGAAATACAAAGAATCAGCTGGAATCTAAGGGTGTATCTATTACATTTACATTAATGAATTGATTTTTAAATTAATTTTTAATAATAGACTTGATAACCACACTTTTACTTTTTCAATTTTATGTCCTACCTTGTCGTTCTAACAATGCAAAATAATAGGTGAGGCAATGCAATCAATTTCTTATTAATTTGCAGAGATTGTAACATGTCTTATGATGTCATACCAGGGTGTGTACTTCTTGTCTGTAAAAATCAAGCCTATGTTTATGGTAATATCCAAGAGAACCTTTTGAAGTTATGAATTTACATTTATAATGGTGCAACTGTGCCAAATTTTAAAATTTTATATAAGCAAAACATTTACAATTTAAACAATTCCAATTGACCAGGTTTTAACTTGTGCTGAGTCCTTGTTTTCATGTTTGTAACCATTCACTTGTATAGATATGTAATTTAGTTCTTTAACAAATGGTGTTATTGTTTTTGATTTGTCGAAAATATATATATATATATATATATATTTTTGGCGCTAACTAAAATTAAATCAAAATTTATTTAATTAAAAATGTAGTGACCATGTAAAAATTAAAATCTCAATTGGGGAAAGGGTTGTTTCAATCACAAGTATTTGGCTCTGACAATTTACTTATATATATATAAAATTTAAAAATTTGGCATAGTTATTTGATTGTCGGAGTATATTTATATATTTGAAGGGTTTTCTTGAAAAATTGCTGTAAACATTGAACTTGATTTTTACAGACCTTGTTTTATAAAATGGTCATAACCTTACAAAAATCATTTTTGCCAGGAATATGCAGAAAAACAAGTTTTACCAAACTCATCTTTTATCTTATTATCTTATGCCAACTGCTTTGGTAGAGTTTTTGCCTAAACCAGCATGTTATACTTTCAAAAAGTGATTTTTTGTTGCAATCTTTGTTGGTTTTATGCCTTAAAACTTATTTCTAGCTAAAACTGCTACTTGTTTTTTTTGTTTCTGAGCTGTAGAGTTTAAAGAGGGTTAATAAAATCAATTGAAAGAAATAATCTTGCCTATAGTGACCCACAGTCTTGTGAGCATAAATTCAGTAAAAAAGAGCAACAAAAACTTTTTTTTTCAGTTTTTTTATTTACTTATTTTGTACTTATGGTTATGTATGGTTCAGGGAAAAGTAAGAGGAGAATAAAAGTATTGGGTAAAAGTATTGGCTAAAAATAGAAAGGTTTGAAGGATGAAAAATAAAGAATGGGACAATGCTTAGTTTGATTTCATCATAATTTCATGCAATGACTGTAGTTAAGTCTTTTATGCTTAAAGTAAATCAATAAAAGCTTTACCTGGAACAAGTCAAATCTACATTGTAGTCAGTACGTAACAGAAAAATATTTATGTATGAGTGTTGTATCAGTTAATATATAATAGCAGTACAAAAACAAAAACTTGATGAAATTCTTTTTTTAACCCGATTTTCTAATTTTTTGATAACCTTAATTGTAAAAGCCATTAACCATTAACATGCATAGTTATCAAAGCATGCATAGTTATCAAAGCATAGTTATCCAAGTGGTTTTACTTTTGTTATACTGTTACATTTGTTACAAGTACATTTTTATATTGATGTGAAAAATTTTCAAGAATGGTATTTTACTAATTGTAAAATGCTGCATGAAAAGCAGCAAAAATATTTGTAAAAATTATTTATTAATAAATTTAATAACAAGGCTTTTATGCTAAAATTTTTTGAAAATTCTAAAAATCTTTTTATATAGTTTGCTGCATATCAAATTCAAATTCAACATGGTGATTTTGATGAAAGTCGTTATAAATCTGGTTATATTGAGTAGGTTAAATTTTATCAACTTAATTTTGAATAAATTGTTATTATATTAAAAAAGACATCTGTTTAATCTAGTTTAAAAGACTTTCTTCCTAAAGAATATCTAAAGAAAAAAGAAGCAGAAAAGAGAGTTAAAGAGGTCTTTTTTTATTTTAATTTTTTTGCTTCTTCTATAAGCAAATACTTGTCTTATAAGTTTTTATTTTATTGAATTGTCTGTAATTTAAAGAAACAATCTGTTTAATTTAAGGAACATAAAAATATAATGGGAATGGATGCCCTGAACTCAAAGTATAAGTATATTCAGCTATGTCAGAACTTACAATCATATGGTGTGACATTCTTTTTAGTTAAGGTATAGTTTATCATTAAACTATTGAATAACTTATCAAATATTTTGATATATAAAGTTATAAAAAAAAGAGTAAACTTTAGATAAATTATAAGTTACAAACTAAAGTTAATTGTGACCTAAGGATCTGATTTTTTTTTTTAATGCTCATTTTTTTATTTTTACAGATTTCATCAGATTTTATTATTATAGGAAAAAATGAAAGGAAAGAACAAACTAGTACCCAGGTTACTTGGTGTCAATAAAGAAAGCGTTTTACGTGTAGATGAAAAAACAAAGCAGGTAAATTAAAAAGATAATGCATATATCATTTTATATTATTTTTTATTTAATGAAACAAAGTTTTTTTTATTGTTTATTTAGGTTTTAAAAATATGGCCTCTCACTCAAGTACGTAGATGGGCTGCATCCCCAAATAGTTTTACTTTAGTAGGTTATTTTGTAATTTTTTTTTCTTTTTATAATGAAGGAAAATTTTTTCATGAACTTAATAATTTTTTGTCATAAAGAATCTTCCTTCTCATCTCAACAATTTTTCCTTTATCTGTTTTTTTAACTAAATTGTAAAAAAACATTGTTGCTGGTATGTCAAGATAATTTTTTATAGAAAAACAATTCTTTACTAAAATGAATCTCCAAGTGCCAAAACAAGTTGTGTTCATATCATAAGTAATCCTTAAAAAATAAGTTTCATTTTAATTAAACTTTCCTGAACAAATTTATCGAGATATTAGCAAAAAAATTATAATTTTTAACTTTTTTTTCTCAAAGCTAAGTTCCGGCTTGTTGATTTTTTTTTTTTTTTAAATACTGGTCTGATTAATGCACTTTTCTAGTTCGTACATGACCTCAATTCAAAAAAAGTTCTTTCAATTAACTTAAATTTAAGTTATAAACGTTATGTTTAGGTTTTCCCTTTTGCAATTAATTTTTATGTAGAAGAATGCCTTTATATAAAACCGTTTATAAAACGAATAAAAGTAACACGATCAATAAGTAAATGCTTTAAAGTCTAACTTATTTTTATTTTACAAAATTAATATTAGTGCTATAAATATAAGATATGTAAATTTAAATATCATACTGAAAAACAAGTTCTGCTAATAAAATCTTAGAGCTGAAAATACTTTTTTTTTTTTGGATTAAACAAGAAATAGTGAAAATACATTTGATTTCACAGTAATTGAAAACGAAATATTTTAATGAAAATAAAAATAAAAACAAAGTAGAAAAGTGGTAATCTTCATTTATTTACAATTTTTCTTTTGTTAAAAGTCTCCAGGTGTTAATGTAGCATGTCTTTTTTATAAAAGGGGAAAATCCAATTTGATGGGGAAAATCAAGAAGAGAAAATCTTATCTTATTGTGGAAATTGTTAAAAAAACTCTGTGGTGAGTACAATTATAATTCAAACCAAATAGACCAGATAAAACCAGAGTTAACCTCTCTACCGGAACTATAAAACAACAAATGTTTTTCTTAATAAATAGTTTTGGTATATTTAATAAACTCAAAACTTATTTTCTAACATTTATTTACAAAATAAGTGTAACTTTTCTTGGCACTTGGTAATCCCTTTAAAATGTTTTACAGAATAAGTGTAACTTGTCTTGGCACTTCACACCTTTAAAATGTTTTACAGAAGAAAAAAACAAATAAGCCTAATGTGCATAAAGGCAATTTTGGCAAGATATGCTTTTTCTTCTTTCGTGATTCAAAAGTATATTTTTATCTTGATGCCTTAGCTGAGTTTTTAACTTAACTTCATTTGAATGGTGATGTTTTTTTGATGAGGATCAGTTTTATTCTGAATTTTATTTTCATAAAATTATAACTTTCTGTTTTACAAACCTTTGATATCTACATAGTTGAGGATTTTTAAAATCTTCATAGCTAACCTGAAACTACGGAAATGTACTTATTACTTAATGTTTTTTAAATTGTATTTGTGCACATTAAAAAAAGTGTTTACTTGTTGTAGGATTTTGGAGATTATACTGAAGGCTATTACTCTGTTCAAACTTCTGAAGGTGAACAAATAAGTCAGCTAATTGCTGGTTACATAGATATAATACTTAAGAAGGTAATTTGTTTATATTTTAAAATATCCAATAAAAGTTAGTAATTAAATATTAAATGTATTCAATATTAAAAATTTTTATTAAGAATTATATTTTAATGAGCATTATAATATTATATAAGTTTAAATAAGTATTATAATATAAATAAATTGTAAATGTATATAAATATTTTTTTAGCGAAGAGCTCATGACATGTTTGAAGGTGATGGAGATGAAAGTAGTGTCATGCTAGAGGACACAGTTCTTCCTTCTCGTGCTACTGTTCTACAGCATCAATCCAATCGGGCAAAACAACCTGAGTCTGGTAATGTGGCTATTCCAGCTGTCATACGTGCTGGTGGCCAAGGCCCAAGCTCCTATGAAGTTCGTAGCATGCCAGATGAACAATCACTAAGTACCCGCAATATGTCGCATACTGGTCATCAACCACCTATGGGACATCAAGCACAAATGTTGAACTTTACAGCCGGACAGAAAGCGTTGATGAAAAATGTTACTGATGGTCATGAAAGAATTAGAGTTGTTATTGAAGATATGTCAGAAACTGCTGATTTGATACCTGATTTAGGAAATGACCCTGTAAGCTTATATATAAGACTTAAAATTAATTATTAACTTATATCTATAATTTTTGTCCACTATGCTCTGAATATGATGTCATAGATAAAAAATGTTAACGTAATAACATAATGGCACATAGAGGCATAGAATAGAGTAAAATAGTAATTCATTTATTAATTTATTGTAATTAATTGTTAACTAAATTTAATAATTTATAAAAGTTTTACTACCAATTTTGCCCTGACTTTCTTCTTATTTTGTTCTTTTTTTTCTTCTTGTTTTGTTCTTTTTTTTTCTTATTTTCTACTTTTTTTTTGTTATTTGTTCTTTTTTTCTAATTTTGTTCTTTTTTTCTAGCAATCATTGAAGTGGAAAGATAACCAGATGGAAATCTCAAAAAATAACATATCAAGTCGTTTAGCTGCTATGTCTGCTGCAACTGCTGCCATAATATCTTTAACCTCTGGTGATCCAGAGGGATTTAATTACACAGCAGTAGGAGCTGGAGTATCAACAATGTAAGTTTAACATATATGTGAATATATAAAGAAAAAAATGTATTTTATATACTTTAACTGAAAGTATTTAAGTATCTGTATTTATTACATTAAAAAAAAATCTTTAATCTAAATTTAAATCTATTAGTATTAGTTTGTAAGTATTTCCTTCAATTTGTTGTATTCATTAAATTTTTTTATCTAGAACTTCCAACCTTGAAGATTTAGTTCATGGAATCAAGTTATTAGCTGCTTTAATGGATGATGATATGAATAGTCATTCCTTATTAGATGCTGCCAAGAAACTGACTAGCGCATTTTCTGATCTTTTAAATAATTTGAACATGGTAGATGGAAAGGTAAACATATATTTAGGTTATTTTTATATAATTTACTTTTTCGCAATTATTAATCATAATTGTTAAAAGTTTTAATAATATTTATAATCCTCCAAGTTTTTTTATAGGAACTTTTTTAGATTTATAATTTTTATTATACATTATATATAGTCCCAAAATTAGGGTTGGCAATTTTCCTAATTCCAAGGGCTATATCAATAAATATATATTTTGTATACTTTCATTTTTAAAGTGTGCACTTTAATCAATTAAATTTTTTAAAGTTATTCTTCCAACTTTCAACAACTAGTTAATCCTTCCCAGCTTAAATTTTTTGAAAACAGCAAAGTCAAAAAAACTTAGTGAATTATGTGAGCTTAGTGAAAAACTTAGTGAGTTAAGTGTGAATTTATCATTTCTCTGTTACATAACATAATATTGAGTTTTTAAAGGGATCCCCAAGTGCAAAGACAAGTTGTATTCATATTAAAGAAAATGTAATATGAATACAACTTGAGAACCAAAAATAATTGCCTTCTCCAATTATTTTTGGTTCTCAAAGTCTTTATAATATACGCTGCAATCTACAGACTGCATAATTTAATTAATGCACGTTTAACTCTTATCGGTTTCAGTATATAGCATCATCATAGAATTTTTTTCTCCAAGAGAAATCTTTTTTTTTTCTGACACAATCAGCATGGGATTTATGTTTATTTGTATAACTTTTCATTAAATTTCAAAAAATATTTGTAATTGTAATTGTAAAATGAAAATAAAGCAACATGATTGATTTGTCAATTGTCAAGATTTGAAATGATATATATCTATTATAAAAGATACTTTACAAAAGTAAAAGAAAAAGAATTTATAACAGATGTTTTATAAAAACATATAAATTTGCTTTGATTATAATGTATATTAGTTTTATGTGTTGATTGTATAAAATGTTTAAAAAAATTTAGTGTTAGTGTAATGCAGGTATGTTCTGATTCTCTATTTTCGGAATGCGGCTGTCCAAGGGTTGGAATACTGGATTGAAAACTATTTTATTTAATTTTAAATGTTTTACTCAAATTAGTTTTATGTTTTTAACTAATATTGTTGTTTATTTATATTATATTTATATTATGTTGTTTATTTATATTATATTTATATTATGTTGTTTATTTATATTATATTTCTGTTGGTTGTAGTTTATTTAGTCACAGTCAAGTGTACATACACCGTCTGACTTAAGTAGGGATAGGCGCAAATAATAATTGAAAAGAAAATCAATGAAGGAATTGTACATATCCTTTTTTCTATATTCACCCATAATCATTACAATTTAGTCACTTTATAAACTTCATGTAGCCATAGCACAGTGGTTAGTGCGCTTGGCTCAGAAACTAGAGATCTGTGTTTCAATGTCACCTCTGGGCAAGTTTTATAAAAAATCGGTAAGGAAAGAGGTGCGAACCTCCTTTCAAATGCTTTTCCGCGTTGCTCTGTGATAAGACCGTAATGATTCCTTGGGGCACCTAAAAAAAAAATTAAAAAGTAAATAAAATAAGTAGTACAAATTTGACAAAATAAATTCGATATAATATATTCTTACATGTACAAATAATTATATATTTTGTAAGATGTAAGAGTATGCTAACCTTTCAATATAAAAATCTAGATAAAGATTTATACTTGTTAGTTGCATTACTGAAATCTCAAAACCAAATATATTATTTTATTTTTAATTGTATCAGAAATATTTTTTGAAATTTAGTGAAAATTTATACAAATAAACATGATTGTCATGCTGATTTTGATAGAAAAAATACTAGATCTTAAAAAAAATTACACAATGTCATATACTGAAATTGTTATAAATTAAATGCACATGAAATAAAGTCTGCAGCTTGTGGTGTATATTATAAAAACTCCAAAAACCATGAAAAAATGGACTAACCACTAAAACAACAATTTAAATTTTATTGAAATGCATTTATTGTTTAGTTTTAATCAAAATTTTTAGACCAAATGTTTTTTTAAACATTTTCATTAATATGAACAATACTTATCTCTGCACATAGGGATCTCTTTAAACTTGTAAAATTCAATATTTTTGTTTTAAAAAAAAAATTTAGTTTTAGGAGAGATAGCGAATGAGAGTTAGTAAAACCGTACTGTCTTACCCTCCCCCTCCCCTTGCTTACATGCTTAAGAACCTTAAGAATATATCAGTACTCTACTAACCCTAATAGACTGTAGTAAACATATAACAATTTATTTATTAGCCAAGACAAGACATACTTACAAGTGCAGGTGATATTGGTTCAGCAAGTGGTAGTATTATGACTGTATTGGGTGATCCTGATACAGATGTTGAATTTCAAGAACTTCTTCTTCAGCTAGCAAAAGCAGTTGCAACATCTACTGCTGCTCTTGTTCTTCAAGCCAAAAATGTTGCAAGTTTATCTGGAGATACAGCAGTTCAAAACAGCATTATTGATGCTGCAAAAGAAACTGCTATGACAACTTCTCAACTAGTTGCATGCGCTAAAGTATTAGCTCCACATATTTCAAGCCCTGTGTGTCAAGAGCAAATGATTGAAGCTGCTAAGTTGGTAGCCACAAGTGTTGATGGAATAGCTGATGCTTGTTATGTATGTTGTTAAAGCTTTTTTTTATTTTTATCAATTAAATGTTATTTAGCAATGCAATGTGCAAATGATAGAATATATTTTTTTCTACCATATCCTTTGTTTGTATTGGAAGTATTTATTGTTTTACTTGCATTTTTATTTTTTATAGGCTGTTACTGATGATGAGGATACTACAAATAAATTAAAAAATTCAGCACAAGCTGTTACAGATGCATTAAATAAACTTCTTCAACATATTCGTGATGGCTCCCATGTAAAGATTAATGGGCAATATGACAGTGCTTGTGATGATATCTTGAATGCTACAGATAGGTTGTTTAATAGCATGGGAAATGCTGGTGAAATGGTTAAACAAGCTAAAATACTAGCGCAGGTAATATATTTACTTTTTATAATTTTATTAATTTTTATAAAAAAAAAAAAATCAATTTTGGGTCATATTTTGGGGAATATTTTTCTTTCATTATTTGTACTCAATCATTTTTTGATTAAAATTGTTCTTATATTTTTTTATTTTCAATTGCTTAAACATGTTTAAGGCTACTTCCCAACTTGTGAATGGCATTAAAGGTGATGCTGAAGGTCAAAGTGACGATGACTCACAAAAAAGATTACTTGCAGCAGCTAAGTTACTTGCTGATGCTACTGCTAAATTAGTTGAAGCCGCTAAGGTATTTTTTTTGTCAGAAGTATAAGTAAGCTAAATAGATAGGTAGAATTGTTAAATAATAATAAGCTAATTACTTTTTTATTATTAAACTGCTTTATACTTTATTAAAGGGAGCAGCACGCAATCCTAATGATAAGAGTGAACAAGAAAAGTTAAAGAATGCTGCCGAGGATTTACGTGTAGCCACTAATGCTGCAGCAAGTAATGCTTTGAAAAAAAAACTGATTGCTCGTTTAGAAAATGCTGCAAAACATGCTGTAGCATCTGCTACACAATTGATATCTGCCTCTAAAGCAGCAGAAGCCTCAAATCGTAATCCAGCATCTCAAAATCAAATGGAAGATTCTGGAAAGGTAAAATTGTTATTTTTTCAATCCTTTTTATACTTTAGTAATTTGTTTAGCACTGCAAATTTAAGGAGATTAATAATGATTCCAGTGATTGGTTATATTTAAAGTTATCTTGAATAATGAAAAGTACAATTTTTTGAGGAGAATTAAAAAGACAATAATATCATTACTATGGTTTTTAACGGAAGCTAATATTACTAGGGCTCAATAAAATCTTACAAAGAACCATAGAGTATTTTCAAAATAGTTTTAAAGTTAAAAAACAAGTTTTAAAAAACTTGTAAGTTGTTTAAGTGGGAAAAATATGAGTGCAGGAGATATAGTTTTATAAACATAAACGTACAGTTACAGTAAAAGAATGCAAATTTGTTGAATGACATGTCAGGCAAAATAGTGTTTTGGTTGGAAACCATACAGCAGATAGTATTTGCAAAAAAGAAATTATAAAAGAGTAGGAGTTGCAATTTTATGACAAAGAGGCTAAAGCTTAGCAGCAGGTTCAACTAACTTAACATTTTAGCATTCATTAATATAGAAGTTCCAACAATATTGTGATAATTTTTAGCAGTAAACAATAGGGTGGTGCTCAAAACAGCATTAATAAAATGTCTTCTGACACCCTTTACAGTCTTCTATACTTCTTTTGAAGTATATTGTTTTTCACTAATGCACTCTCAGATAAGTAATGAGAATTATTGAAAAAATGACTGATAAAATGACTGGCCAAAGCCAATTAATTTGAAATAAAAATAATGCTTTTCATTGTTTAAATTTTTACATTTTATAAAAACTTATAAGTTATACACAAAAATACCTAACATCCTGTATATATTTTTATTTTTTATTTTATTATTTTTTTAATTTTACTTTTTTATCTTAATTCTTTTTATTTGTTAAGTTAAATTAGAAAAAATATTCTAAAATATTATTTTATGATTTTGACAAAATCATAAAATATTATTTTAGAATTTTTATTATTTTTTAAAAATAATAATTTTAAAGATTTTTTAAAAATAATAATTTAGAAAAAAATTTAAAATTATTATTTTTAAACTTTTTAAATTAAAAGTGTATATTGATTATTTTTTTTAAACTTTTCCTAATATTTTAAACTTTAACATTCTATAACTAAATTGAGTTACTTGAACATTTATATTCAGTTTTCACATACCATTTATTTAAATTGTATTATGACATGGTCCTTGCCTTGTGTGAATTGTTTTAATATTCAAAGTTGATTTATGGGATTTTTAACTGTTTCATTTTTTTTAGGTTGTTAATGATAGCTCTGGTGAACTAATATTTAGTATCAGAAATAGCCAACGTCACCCTGATATTCCTGCATCACAACTGGGTCTTATTACATCTTCAATGAATTTTATACCGGTATGCTTTTATTTTGAAATATAAACCTTTTTTTTATTATTTATTATTAAACAGTCATTTTGTGTGGCTATATAAGTAACATGAATTTTTATGTAATTTCAGGCTTGTGCAAAGTTTATTGCTCATTCAAAAGCTGCTGTGCCAACAGTTGGCGACAATGCTGTTGCTCTTCAACTTTCAAATGCTGGTAAAAATGTGCAAAATTCATTAAATGAATTGCGCTATGCTGCTGAAAAGGTAGTGTTAAAATATATTTAAAAAAATTATACATTCTTGTATATAAAAGTATGGATTAATTATTAAATTATATTTAAAAAATTATGCATTCTTATATATAAATGTATAGATAAAAATTATTTTTTGTACCAATTATTTTTTTTAATATAATTTTTATTTGCTGGTAAGTAGTTTTTGCAATAAACTTTTGATGAAATAATGTAGTTATTTTTTCCTGATTTGTATTCAGGCTGCAGAAGCATGTGGTTCTCTTGAAATTGATAATGCTTTAGCTGCTGTAAAAGCTCTTGAGGTTGAACTAGAAGAAATTCGAAGCCAAGCTGATAAAGGACAGCTTAAATCTTTTCCTGATGAAAATGTAATCTCTTCAAGTGTTTTTAAATTAAAATATGTTATTAAATCAATAGAATTATAATTTTATTAAAATTATGTTTGACCTTATGGTCACCTGGGTAAACTTGTTCTGTTAAATATTTTTTTCATAATGAATTTTTTATTTGGTAAAGGTTCATCGAATTTAAAATCTTAAGAATTTAATGTGTTTAAAATTTTATTAATGAAATCCATTATAAATAGGCTGATGATCGTGCATTAGAAGTTGGCGCCACGTCCAAAACTGTTGGTGCTTCAATGGCACAATTGTTAACTGCAGCTGCTCAAGGAAATGATAGTTATACAGGCATTGCAGCTCGTGACACTGCAAATGCATTGAAAGTTCTTTCAAATGCTGTTCGTGGAGTTGCCTCAACTTCAAATGAGTCCAAAGATCAGCAAGCTATTCTTAAGGCAGCACAAGTTGTGATGCATGAGTCAGCAAATCTCATTGAAGAAGCAAAGACAGCATTAGAAAATCCAAGTGATCCAGAAAACCAACAAAAGTTGGCGCAAGTAAAAATTGTTATTATTATCTATATAGAATTGTTGCTATTAAAAAAAACGCTTTGTTTAAAAAAATCTTTAATATATGTCAGGTGGCTCGTGGTGTATCCCATGCTCTGAATAATGTAGTTAACTGTTTGCCTGGACAAAGAGTTTTAGAAGATGCCATTGAAGAAATTGCAGAAGCCAGTCAATATCTTGCTTCTCCAGATATAAAAGTATGTTAAATGGTTATCTTTTCCTTGTTATTTAGCATCATTACAATACAATTTTTTTAAAAATACTTGCTGTTTTAATTCTTCTAATTATTTTTAATTTAACGTTTTTATTTTAATTTAATTATTCTAATTATTTTTCTAATTATTCTAAATGCATATTTTAAAAATACTTGCTATTTTAATTCTTCTAATTATTTTTTTAAAGTTTCCTTATTCAACTGACTCGTTCAGTCAAGTTCAAGATCAATTAAATGCATCAAGTATCCAACTTAATGCTGCCGCAAATGATGTCTTACATGCTGCAAAAGGGCCTGGTGCTCAACTTTCTACTGCTTCATTGAAATTTTCTCATTCCTATGCAGATTTTCAAGCAAGTGGTTTAACTTTGGCTGGACAAATTAAAGATAAAGCTGCACAAGATCAATTAATTAATGACTTACGTAAAACTTCAACTGTGAGCAGCAAGTTATTGCTAGCATCAAAAGCATTGGCTGCTGATCCTGGAGCTCCTAATGCAAAGAATCTCTTAGCTGCTGCTGCTAAGTATATATTTTTAATAGATTTAGATAACTAAGATTTAAAAAAAATGAGGTGCAATTACCATTAGCATAAAACTAGTACAAACTTTCAATTAATCTCAAAGTTAAAAAAATATGTTTAAATAATAATTTTCTATTATTTTGATGGCAATTAAAAGAATAATAAATTTGCTGTTGTTTTAAAAAACTGCTTTGATACTAACAAACAAAAGCATTGAAACCATAGGCAACTGTTTCTGGAGAAAATCTGGTGATCAGAAATTTAGTTTATATTGATGCAGTTTATTGTGCGAAAAAATATGTGAATTTTTTTTTAAGAATGGTACAAAGTATACAAAGTATATTACAAAGTAAGAATGGTACGATCCTGTATAAAAAGAATAATGACAATATAGTTTATTATTTATAAATTACTTAGTAAATCTTAGTGTGTATATATATATATATATATATATATATATATATATATATATATATATATATATATATATATATATATATATATATATATATATATATATATATAGTAATCTTTTGAAAACATGATTTTCTTATTAATAGTATAAATATAATCATTCTTATAAAGTTAGTAATAAGTTCATTATAAACCATACATAAAATTTATATTCGCAGTAGTTTAAACTTAAATTGTAAATTGTAGTTTGGTATTAAAAGGTTGTTACTTTTAATTAAAAGGGGTGTTACCGATGCTATTAATCAACTTCTTAATCAAGCGTTGACTGCAGCTCCTGGACAAAAAGAATGTGATTCTGCTTTACGAAACATAGATGGTTTGGCTCATGTTTTAGAAAATCCAGTTGAGCCAGTTAATGAAGCATCCTTTTTTGAGTGCTTAGAACATGCTTCAGAAAAATCACAAGAGCTAGCTCGTAATATGCAAGACATAACAAATTCCTTAAAAAAAGAAGATTCAGAAGGATTTGCTAATTCTGTTAGCTACGCATCAGATGCAGTTTGTCAACTAACTGAGTTTACTGCTCAAGTATGTTTGTAAATTAAATTTTTTTATTAGTATTTATTCTACTACATTTACTGTTTTAAATCTATCTTATATATCTATTCCCTTTTATTTCTTATCTCACTTATTGTCTTATTTTCTTTTATTTCTTTTATTTCTTATCTCACTTATTGTATATTATTTTCATTGTGTTAATAAATTTAGTGTTGAATTCTTTAGTTTTTTTGTTTGTTTTTTTAAGGCTGCTTATTTGGTTGCTATTGCTGATCCTTCAAGTACTGCTGGCCAAGCAGGTTTAGTTGACCAATCTCAATTTGCTAAAGCTCGTGATGCTATTATGGGAGCTTGTGAGGGTCTTCTTCATCCCAATGCAACTCAACAACAAGTACTATTTGTGTTTAGTTGTTTTTTAAAATTTTTAATATTTTTAATAAATATTTATTTTAATTTTAATTTTTTTAAAATTATATTTAATTAAATTTTAATTTATTTTAATTATTACAACTTAAACAATTAAAAAATCTAATAGTTACAATTAAATAGTAAAAGTTCTTAATTAATAGTTAAAAATCATTAACATCATATATTATATAAATATATTACTAATCTCACTTTATCTGACACATAATGACACACGTCACTCTTATGTTGTCATTGTCTCTTCTTTTGACCCATAAAAATGTTTTGACACTCATATATATATAAGATTTTTAGTTGTTTTAATTTAAACGTTTTTAATTAGTTAAATTTTTTTTGTTTTCTAATTTAAAAGAAAGAACTAATAAAGTAGAGAAATTATACTTAAAAATTTTAAAAATAGCTAGAAAGACAAAATAAGGACAAAAATGACTGTACTGTATTTAGCATTTAATAACTTTGTCTTGTAAGTATATATTTATAAAAAAACCATATTATATTTAGATAAAAATAAGTAATAATAAGTTAATTATATAAATATAATAAATAATATACTAATTTCTAACTTTAATTTTATTTTCTAAGGATAAAGAGAAACTGTATTTCCAGGTAAAGTTATTATGTATAAATTTTCTAAAATAAATATTAAAAATAAATAATAGTCTATAAACATAATTTTAGTTAAAATATATTATTTTAAGTAATACATAATATAAAAATAACAGTTATTTTAAGTAATACATAATATAAAAATAATATTAATTATAATACATTTAACAAAACAATATCTGCATATTTGAGGTAAACTACAGATCATGTATAACATGGTTTTGAGACTCTTAAATGTTTTTTTGCTTTTATTGTTTTTTGAGCTTTTTGAATTTATTTAAAGATCAATTAAAGATCAAATATTAAGTTTATTTATTAATATGATTATTTTTAATATTAAAAAAATCAGCTGAACATAAAAAAACAAATTTTTGTTTTGCAAGTAAAACCTTTTTACTAAATTAAAACAAATTCAAGTTAACATGATGTAGTTTTCTTATAATATTTTATTTATTATGATAAAAGTATTATAATATTTATTTATTATAATAAAAGTTTAAGCATTTTAATTTTTGAAAGTGTTTTAAGTTTTGCTTTTTTAACAGGTTTTATCAGCTGCAACTGTAATTGCAAAGCATACTGCTGCACTTTGCAATGCTTGCAAAGCTGCATCTTCAAAGACAGACAATCCTGTTGCAAAGCGTCATTTTGTGCAATCAGCTAAGGATGTTGCTAATAATACTGCTAATTTAGTTAAATTTATCAAGGTAAAGTCATGTTTGTTTTAAAAATTAACCATTATAATTTATATAAGCTATTTCTCTAAATTTTAATACTTTTTAAAAAAAAACTTTACTCAATTTTTTTTTAATATAAAATTTTTTTGACAGGTTTATGCTAGTAGCATGACACCCGAGAACCGTAATAACTGCGCTAGTGCCACAGAACCATTGTTAGAAGCTGTTAATAATCTTGTCACATATGCCTCTTCTCCTGAATTTGCATCGGTTCCTGCTAAAATTAGTGCACAGGTAAAAATAATTATATATATATATATGTGTATATATATATATATATATATATATATATATATATATATATATATATATATATATATATATATATATATATATATATATTACTTTTATGTATTGTGACCAAATGAATTAATGCTGCAGAGTGTACATACATTGACTGACTTAAACAGACTTGAACATGCAGGGAATGTATATACATCAGGATTAAAGTTAGGATTGCCAACCCTAGCCGAATCCCTTGATGTATGTACACTCCATACATTTTTTTCCTACATAAGTCAGTTAATGAATGTACAGCGTGCTATCCCTTTTTAAATCAAGTACTGTATGTAAACTCCAATGCATATTCTCCCTAATTAAGTCAGTCAATGTATGTACAAAAAATAAAAAACAAAAATAAAACCAAAACATCACAAAACATTAAAAAAGAAAGGAAGAAAAAAAGAAGTAATAAGAATCAAAAAATTAATATATAATTAATATATTTGTTTCTGCAATCATTTTTTATATAATTAATATATTTGTTTCTGCAATCATTTGGTTTTACAAAAAAAAAAAAAAGTTCAATTATTATCCTCTTCATTTGAATAAAAAAATCCAATTATTGTTTATTATTAATATTACAATAATAACAATAAACTTTTAGCTATGGTTTTTTAGTTATTTGTTATTTATCATTTTAAATGAAATAAATATTAACGCAGATAATTCATTGCTATAAATATATACTGACACATATTTTGATTTCATATTTGTTGAATTTATATTTTATTCAAATTAGTTTCATATTTAAAGTCTAATAAAACTTGAAAATTGATATTTGAAGACTGTTATTATTTTTTATAGGCTAAAGCCGCTCAATATCCTTTAATAATGTCTGGAAAATCTATGGTGACTTCCAGCTGTCATTACTTTATTACTGCTAAACAGTTAGCCTTGAATAATAAAGATCAAGGAACTTGGCAACTTTTTGCTCAACATTCAAAGACAATGGCTGATGCAATGAAAAAAATTGTTGCTGCAATAAAGTATGAAAAATCCATTTTTATATTTTAATATATATGTTGATAGGCTGTTTTAAAGCATATTTCTACAGTTGTATGTTTGCAACAGATATCTGTAGCAATATTTTTTTAAATATTGGCTTCTATTAAAAATAATTAAAAGTTTAGCTTTACGTTTATTTTCCAGAATCTTAGTATTTTATTTTAGGGATAATGCTCCAGGTCAACAGGAATGTGAGTTGGCAGCTGATACAATTAACAAAGCTATAAACAAAATTGATCAAGCTTCTTTAGCTGCTATTAGTAATAATTTAAAACCATCAAATGAAGACTCTCTTAAGGTATACTGATTGCTTATTTTAAAACTAAAAATAACAATGTTTTGACATGTTTTTAATAATCAAAATACCCTGTTTTACATTAGTTATCTTGCTAATGGTATATGAATTCAATAATTTTTTTCTACCGATTCTGTTGCAATAATAAGTGTTAACCAAGCTTCTAATATATAAAAAAGAAAAAAGAAGCATAAATGTGTGATAATTTTATTACCTAAAGTCTTTGATAAGTCTTTAACGAGGAATTTAATTTCTTAAAACTTAATGACTGTTATTGAGATTTTGAAAATAAGAGTTGTTTAGCATTTAAAGCTGCCTTATTATTGAGAATGCCAATTGACTTTCTTTCATCAATGTCAATTGACTTAGTTTCATCATGTTTTGACAAAAAGTGAATTATTATCATTTTTTTTTTTATTGTTTTAAAGTTTTTGTTCCCAAGTTGGGTATTTCTCATAATGTCATTTCTTCAATATATTTATATATAATATGAAAATATAATATATAGTTAAAGCGTTTTTTTATGCCATCTGCAATGCATTTTTTCCAAGTTTACCTACTATTTCTACCTTTATCTGCTGAAACTTTCAAATCAAATACATTAATGAAGATTTAGGGGTTTGAACAAGAATTGCATCAAATGCAACTCTTGTTCAAACCCCTTTAATCTTCAATGGTATTAGATACAGTCACTATACTCGATCTCTGTCTAAGATTGTCGCTTCTTTTTTTATCCTTTGTGACCTCTGCATTTTTAAAGTTGCAAAACATTCTCTATAAATTTATAATTTTGAATTGCAAATAAAAAACAACCTTATTTCCAATAACATAGCATGGATAGAATACAAAACAAATGTTATTTCTTTTTGACTTGTTTGTTTGTTTGTTTTTAAATTTGTTTGAAACTTGTTTTTCTTTGTTTATTTTAACTCTCCATTGCAGTTACACAGCTTAATTTTCATATATTTTGATTTTTTTTTTTTTTTTTTTTTTTGACAAAGTTCTTTATTAGTATTTAATTTCCTGGATTGTCTATTTTTGCTGACTAAGTATGAAAATTAAAATGGGATTGATATCATATGTATCATATATAAGGCCATTCCAAAGTGATGTCATTCTAAAATGATGTCATTTCAAAGTGATCTGGTCAACATTTTTATGAAACTCATCTCATGCTCTTAGTTAACATAATGCTGGTATTTGGCACAGAAAAATTAGATTAGTCTCTTTGACTGTAGCAGTCCCTGGGTTTAGGAAAAGTTGAAAATGTAAAAAGCTGTTCTTTTTTTTTTTTCTATCAGCAAAGATCAGCAAAGGCATCTTTTCTTAATCAACATCACATATAAAAATAAAATATTTTATAAATTATTATGCATACAGCAATTGCAATTACTGTTAGCATTCTAATAATTTTGTTAATTTTAAAATCATATATATACAAAAGTTCTTATTAATTACTAATAATATTATCAGTTTTTTATGTTTGATAATAAATTTGATGTGATTTTATTGAATTATAGGGTTTTGAAGAGAAAATGATGTTGACATCTGCTCAGCTTGGAGAAGCAGTTCCACAAACCGTAGAATATGCAAAAGGTTCTCCCGAAAATATTGGACACTCAGTATGTATTATTTACAAAATGAGTTTTTTTTTTTAGTATATTTTCTTATTTACAAAATGAGTTTTTTTTTTTTTTTTGCTTAACAATTGAAGTTTCTAAAATCTATTTTTTAAGGTTATGAAAATTGCAAATCTTGTAAATCCTCTTGCTGACTGTGCAATTGGTTTTGCATCAAAACTTCCTGGTGGTTCACAAAAACAAACTGAGTTACTTGATACAGCAAAAACTGTTTGTGAATCTGCTTCTCACTTAGTATATGCTACAAAGGATTCAGGTGGAAATCCAAAGGTAACTATTTCATCGCACCATAAAATGGTGTCTTGATGATAAAAAGTCACTATTTATTATGACAATCAAATTTTATATATCTTTTAAAACAATTTTAAAGGCTTTGAGTTTCCACCCAGCTGTTGATGCTGCTGCTCAAGACTTATGTGAAGCACTTCGTGATCTTACTCAACAACTTGAGGAAACTGCTGGAGACACTGGAGCTGTTATGGCTCTTGTTGATTCTATTAACAAAGCACGAACTTCGGTAATAATCTTTTTTGTTTTGTAGGAAATTTTTATATTAATTAAATGTTTGTTAAAATTATTTTTATATAATTAGTTCCAAGTTTAGTGAACTTGAGGTATTACAATACAAATGTAATGCATCAATGAAACAATTCTGAATTAAAACATAAAAATCAGCTTTATAGATTTTTTTTTGTAATTTGATAATGAAAGTGATTATCAAACAATTACTTTCATTATCAAATTACAAAAAAAAAGCATTATAGTTTTTTAATCTGGCAAAATTAGACTTTGTTTATATTTTTTTATATTGTGTATAATCATATATTTACAGATCAATGTGTATGTAGCTGATTATCGTAGAGATCCCAATAGTCCTCCTGGTGCTGAAACCGCTTCGTTTGTTGATTTCCAAGATAATATGGTTAAAAAATTAAAAGATATTACTAGAGGTGCTCAAGATATGGTTAGTGATTTGTCTTTTTTTTTTTAGTAAAAGTTAGTAAATGTCTCTATTTCTACATCTTAGATAAATTCATTTTATTGAGTTCATGGCTTGTATACAATTTTTTTACTGTTAATTTTTACAGGTTGGTAAGGCAACCTCAAAGCCAAAAGAGCTAGGTGCAATAAGTCAGGAGATGTGTAAGAACTATAATGAATTAACAGAGAACACTAAAAATGCTATTAGAGTTACTATTCAATTAGATGTAATTTTTTTTTTTTTTAATTTTAAAAATTAGTAATCATTTTAAATATTTGTTCGTTATTATTGTGCTATTTTTTAAAATGTTAATAATTTTGTTTTATTGCAACTTTTCTATTGGTTATTTAGTATTTTAGGTACATAACTAAGTATTTAACTTTTTTGACTATTGAATAGAAAATTTATTTAACATTAATTGTGATTATTAGATAACTGTTATTAATTAAGTAGATAATTAAGTAATATTATATTAACTTTTTTGACTATTAGATAGCTGACAGTTAAGATTCAGAGATAATAATATGGAACAACATTGTATAATTTTAGATAGCTGATCGATTAAAGACTAGTGTTAGTGCATTAGGAGATTCTTGTGGATCTTTAATCCAGGCAGCTAGTTGTGTTCAGTCAAGTCCTAGTGATCCTTTTGCTAAATCTGAACTTTCAGATAAAGCTCGAGATGTGACTGAAAAGGTAAATGCACTTTTTTTTCAATCATTTTTTGCATTTACTTATTTGTATTGTTCAAATTTTTCATAATACTTTACTCTGTTTCAGGTGTCTTATGTGTTAGCAACATTACAAGCAGGATCTGTAGGCACCCAAGAGTGTATTAATGCAATTTCCACTCTAGCTGGAATAGTTGGTGATATTGATACCACTGTTATGTTTGCTCAAGCTGGTACATTAAATCCAGAAAATGAAGGGGAAACGTTCAGTGATCATAGAGAAATAATTTTAAAAACAGCAAAAAATTTAGTAGAAAATACAAAGAACTTAGTTGTTGCAGCACAAGGAAGCCAAGAGCAGCTTGCAACATCTGCTCAAAATGTGTTGTCAAGCATGACTAAGCTTGTTGATAATGTTAAACTAGGTGCTATTGCATTAGGTGCTGATGACCAAGAGGCTCAAGTAACTTTTTATTCATCTCTTTAAATCTGAAAACTAGATTACTTTGTTTAAGTAATATCTGTGAGAATACAATATAAACATTTTTTTGTTAGTTTAATATTATATTTTTAAAAATTTATAGGAAAAAAATTTTTTTTTATAAGTTTTGTATAAAACAATTAGACTATGTTACTTATGGCTGCAAAAGATGTGGCTGTTGCATTAACAGATTTAATAAATTCAACTAAAAATTCATCAGGAAAGTCAGCCAATGACCCAGCTATGGATACACTTAAAGTATCTGCTAAGGTATTGGTTAAAATTTTTTTTAATATCATTTGCTCACTGTTTACTAGCAATAGAATAATTTTTTTTTTTTTAATTTTAAATTTAAAAAAGTTATTTATTTAGACTATGGTAACCAGTGTGTCGTCCTTACTTAAAACAGTTAGAAGTGTCGAAGATGAAGCCTCTAGGGGTGTACGTGCTATTGAGTCTACCGTTGAAGCAGTTAAACAAGCAGTCATTGTATGTTTTTTTTGATATTATATATATGTATTAATGTGTGTGTGTTTACACAACCTAAATTTGCATAAGTAAATGTGTGTGTGTGTGTTTACACACACATATGCACACATTTACTTATGCAAATTTAGGTTGCTACGGTTTTAATATATTTTGCACACTTTAAGTTCTAAAATGCTGACTTTTTTTTCGAAAAAAATAAAAGAATAATGAGAACAATATAATAAAATTTTGCTCAAATAAATGTCCTTCATATGTATATGACCTATCCAAATCTCTCTCTTTATATATGTGTATATATATATATATATATATATATATATATATATATATATATATATATATTATGTATATATATATATATATATATATGTATATATATATATATATATATGTATATATATATATATATATATATATATATATATATATATATATATATATATATATATATATATATGTATATATATATATAAAAGAGAGAGGGAAAAAGAGAGACTCAAAATATAACAATATGAACATGAGTTGAAAACGATTGTTATTAAGTTATGTTAAAGCGTTTCCAGAAAGTAAGAAAAAAAACAAAAACAAAGAATAATGAAAGAAAAGGTTGCTGCCTCATGCCAAACCCTTAATCAATATAGTGGCACTCCCTTGCAGCAGCAGGCTATAAGGTAAACAATGTATGTACTGAAGTCCCCGGCAGCAGCCTATTTCAGCGTGACCTCAGAGATATTATCTAAACACCTATTCATAGTTATATATATATATATATATATATATATATATATATATATATATATATATATATATATATATATATATATATATATATGTATATATATATATATGTATATATATATATATATATATATATATATATATATATATATATATATATATATAAAAATATATATATATATATAAACACACACACACAAAAAAAGATCTTTATGTACTTAGCTTAGCATAAATAACTGAAATAAGGAGCTGTGGGGCCTCTGCACATTGCTTGACTGAGTGTTTGAGTTTGGGCAGGTCATATATCATCTATATACAAAAAACTTCTAGAAAAAACTTTTGTTTTTGTTTTCATTATTCTTTTTCATGTTTTTTCATTTCCTTAAAAAAAATGTTTGACTTTATGGTTGTTTTTTTATTTATGTAGAACTTGCAAGTTGGAGATCCAGAATCTAAAGCTTCTCCTGAAGATCTAATTAGAGCAACAAAAGGAGTTACTTTAGCCACAGCAAAAGCTGTAGCTGCTGGTAACTCTGGTCGTCAAGAAGATATTGTGCAAGCCGCAAATATTGGTAGAAGATACTGTACTGAGCTTTTAGTAATTGTCAAGGTTGATATATTTTTATATATATATATATATATATAAATAGGGTGGGATAAAGTTTTTTTATATACTTTTGACTTTAAGCAAAAAATATATTTAACAAAATATTCTTTTTTCTGAAATAAATATCTTTAATCTTAATTACACATGATTTTTAGGGATTTACATAAAAAATAGTTTGTTTATAATTATATAAATATAGTTATTAAGTATGTATCCTATTTAAATTATTTATTAAAGATAATAGTATTTCAATAGATCGTTTATATTAAAAAGAACTTTATATGTTCAAAGTGCCACATAAAAAGTACAAAATAGATAACCTTTTATCTCTAACAGCCATTTTCCAAAGAATGTAAAGCTTTCTTGTGGTTCAATTTTTTTTTTTAATCACTATTCTATTTATATATATTTAATGGAGCGCTGATTTTCTATATTTAATTTAAAATAATATTTCTTTGGGTTTAATTTCCACATATTTTTTATTACTTTTCTAAATATATTGTTAATTTGAATATCCAATTACTTTTAAAAAGTTTAAGCTTTAATAAAGTTTATAAAAACCTGATAAGGTTTTTGTAGAAGTAAGAATTTTTTCATAATTTTTTTTTTAAAGCATATATAAAATAGATATATTATTCTTCAAAACTGCTACATTTTTTTAATAATAAAATATAATACATCATCACATCTTTAATGATCATCTAAATGAATCCGTTTTCTAATTGTTTCATCCATGTTATTTTCTAGTCTGTTTAGATTTTACTTTCATGCTTTTTTTTAAACATCAGTAAGTCTGATTGTTTTTACATCTTCAGCCTTATTTTGCTCTCAACTATTATTTCACTGATTTGTAGTTAATGAATTATACAGGTTCATTTATTTTACTGATATTAAGTTTTTTACTTTTAAATTTTCATGTATTTTTTTGTTTTCAACTCTTAACTTTTGTTTTTAACAATTGCTTACAGTTTTAATAACTAGTTTTAAAAATATATAAAATGTTTTTAACACAAAATTATTTAACCCTTTTTATCATAAAGTTTTGAGTATTGTTAGCAGATTTGCATTCTATATTTCCCTATTAAAAAAAAATGTTTAAGACAAAATACCTCTTTTTTTGTTAAAATATAAATATAGAAAAAATGATTTTTATATTTGTTCTCTATATTGAGGTGGTTTAAGAAAATTATATCATTTTTTATCTTGTATTTAAAAAAAATTTCCTAATTTATAGGCTGCTGCTTTTAATTCTGAGTCAGAATCCATTCGCGTTGCTACCATTGTTAAAGGTCGTGACACAGCTCAAGCTTATTGTGAAGTTTTAGATCATGTTGCATCTGTTATAGTTCATCCAACACCACAAAAGAAACAACATTTAACTGTTTTATCTAAGAAAGTAGCATTCTCTGTTGCTGAACTTGTAAAATCTGCAGAAGAACTTAAAGGTATTAAGTTAACATATAAAATTAATCTTGTTATCTTGTCAAAATGTCAGCGAACTTAATACATTACACAATTGATTTGATATTTATGAGAATTTATTTTTTTAAAGGGGCTGATTGGGTCAATCCTGAAGATCCTAATGTTATTGCTGAAAATGAGTTGTTAGGAGCTGCAGCATCAATTGAAGCAGCAGCAAGAAAGCTAGCAGAGCTTAAACCAAGAGCTCGACCAAGGGTATACTTATTTATATAATCTCTCATATATATATATATATATATATATATATATATATATATATATATATATATATATATATATATATATATATATATGTGTGTGTGTGTGTGTGTGTGTGTGTATATATTCGTGTGTGTGTGTTTATATATATATATATATATATATATATATATATATATATATATATATATATATATATATATAGATAGATAGATAGATAGATAGATAGATAGATATATATAGATATATATAGATATATATAGATATATATAGATATATATAGATATATATAGATATGAGGTCAGCATTTTATTCCTGACCTTAAACTGTTAGAGGTAGGCAAAAAAAATTTTACACAAAGGTCTTACCATAAAACATAAAAATAAGGTCATAATTTATTTAGCTAAAAATAACTCAGTTAAATTAGTATTAGTATATTAGTCATATAATGCATTATTAGAATTAAGTGATTGCAAATTGTGTTATCTGGAAATGCTTCTGGTCTTAAAAACTCTAAACTTCATTTCTTTCACTAAACTCAATAGTTGTTTTTCATTTAAACATATTTATATTGATTTTAAATTATGGTATAAAATCTCATATTTAAACCATATTATTACTACTATTTTTATTATTATTTATTTTTGTTATTAAAATTTTTACTATTATTTTAAACTTTAATATTTTAATTTATTTTATAAATCATGAGATAAAATTAAAAAAAATAAAGCATACAGTACGATGTAAAATCACAATAGTCTAAAGGAATTTAGCAGTGATTAAATATTTTAAATAAAAGAAATCGCAAAAAAAATATATAAAATACTTTTAGATCTTATTTAAATTTTTTTCTATATTTTTTTATAAATTAAGTATAAACATCAATTAAATACTCCTAGCTTTCTAATGCAAATAGTGTATATATAGTTAATGAGAACAGAGTTTAAAAAGATATAAAAACTAATTTAAAATTGAGAAAGGAGTTCAAAAACATATAAAATAATTTAAAACAGAGAAAGGAGTTTAAAAACATATAAAAATTAATTTAAAATAGAGAAAGGAGTTTAAAAACATATAAAAACTAGTTTAAAATGGAGAAAGGAGTTTAAAAACATATAAAAATTAATTTAAAATGGAAAAAGGAGTTTAAAAACATATAAAAATTAATTCAAAATGGAGAAAGGAGTTTAAAAACATATAAAAATTAATTTAAAATGGAGAAAGGAGTTTAAAAACATATAAAAACAAATTTAACCTACTTATAGTTATATAAAAAGCAAAACAAAACAACTTTAATAACTTTCTTTAAAATATATCTTCTTTATTATTTTTTATTATTAATTAATTTCTAATTGAAAACATTTAAATTTTTAAAAGAAAAGGTTTTCCCCTAACAAAAATCAATTTTAATGTTTCATAAAATGTTTGGGTCTGTTCGAAAAAGAGATTCAAAGTGTTTGTAAATGTAATAATTTGAAATATCTTCATGTTGATGATAACATTTACTTTAATCAAGACACTGTAAAAAATATCAACCAAGTAACTAAGGGAGCACTAACTAGTTAATTCTTTGGATGTTCTGGTTTATTCTCTATCCAAAATGAAATATTTTTGTTAGATAGGCAACCTTATAATCCAATATTGTTACTTTTATTTAATTGTATGTTCATTTCTGTTTTAAAAGCATTGATATTTTCAAATAAATTTACTTCTACTCAATGTCACTGAAGACATTTTAATTTGTCTTTCAAAAATTGTTTTCTCCTCTTCTGAAACTGTAGTTGTAGCAATTTTTTTTACCATCAATACATCAACCATCAACCACAAAAAAATACGAAAACAAAAATTTTATTTAAGTTCTAAATATAATAGTTAAAAAAAAATATCAAAATTAACATTTAATTTTAGTTCTTTTTCATGATTTTTCATTAAAGATGAACAAAAATGATTTGTTGCAATAAAAAAATAATAATAAAAAACGCTTTTTTTTTTTTTTATGTGCTAGCTAAAGTTTTTGCAGGTGTGTACAAAAACGCGTATTAGCTTGAGCGAGTGTGGGCCAAACAGAGAAGACTGTTATTTATTTTATATAATAGTTACATTTAATATACAATAATTTTACTAAAATATATATAAACACATAAGTTACATCAATGCTTCATGGTAGACATCGCAAGTAAAATACATAACAGAGTACTTGATAATTTCCCTTGATTTAAATTAATTTAATAAGTATTTGACTCTTGAAGTTGGAAAGAACTTAAAGTTGGCAGTGACATTTCAGGTCTACTGATATAATATGATTTCAGGTCTACTAGCTCTGTTTAATGTTTGCTTTTGTGACTTTGATAGTCATAGCAAGGTAAAACTGGAAAGTGTTACTAAATGTAAATGGTATATTATTTTCTATTAAACTTATCAACTTGGGTAAGGAAACTATGGGTATATTTGTGTTTTTCTTGCTGTAATCGTTCTCTCTAGCTCTGATTTTTGTGGTATAACTTTCTTTTTCTTTTGCGTTTTGAATTCTCCTTTTGTTGCATTTGGAATCCTTGGATTTTTTTTCAACTTAGGTTTAAGTTTACCCATTTTACTTGAATTGTGTGAATTCTTATAAATGATAAATACTAATACAAATCAATTAATGAATATTAATAATAATAAATATATTTAACAAATTAAATACTTTACTAGTTAATTGGGGTATGGATAAGCCAATTTGATTGAGTACACTTTTGTTTCAATTTTTGTTTTTATTATTAAAATACAAAATATTTAATATTTAAGTAATTTAAATATTGATTGCAATTTGCTTAGTAAATAAAATACAACACAGACAGAAAGCCATTCTTTTTGATGATAAGAATAATTCAAACAATTTTTAATAAAAGACTTTTTTATTAATTTTGAGACTTCTAAAACAGTGGGGTCCTTGTGTTTTATTAAAGTTAAATCATTGTGTTTTAAATGACATGCTTGAATGTTTTAAATATTAAATGACATGCTAAATTTTAAATGACATGCTTGAATGTTTTAAATATTAAGAATCTTATTGTTAAGTTTTCTTTTTTTATTGATATTTTACAAATGTTGATTCAAAGCAAATTTATTAAAAAAAAATTTGTTAATTTGAAAAACATATTTTAAACCTTATTTGACCAATATTTTAATTTGCTCAACCAATATTTTAACCTATTTAATCAATGGGTTAACATGCTCAACCAATATTTTAACCTATTCAATCAATAGGTTAACATGTTCAACCAATAATTTAATTTATTCAGCAAATGATTTAACTTATTCAGCCAATTAACTTATTCAACTAATGTGCAACAGCTAAAAAGACGACAATAAAAGAGACATACAATTTGTTTTGAATAAGTTTTTTATGAAATATGACTGAAATTCATTGTATTTTTGAAACTATAAATGGAGACAAAAAAGTCTGTTGAAAAATGTTTGATTTAAGTGAAATTTCAAAATATGTACTTCTTGCCTGTGAGAGAGAGAGGGAGAGAAAGATTATTTGTTAAACAGTATTAAAAGGTTTATTAATATTAATAATTGTTAAACAGCATTAAAAAGTTTATTGATAGAATTTAAAAATAATGTTCTTATTTTTAGGAAGCAGACGAGTCACTCAACTTTGAGGAGCAGATTTTAGAAGCTGCTAAGTCTATTACTGCAGCTGCTGGTGCTCTTGTTAAAGCTGCAACTGCTGCTCAACGTGAATTAGTAGCTACTGGAAGGGTAAAAAAAAATTATTTCTTGTATATTATTTCTAAAATTTTGTTAATTGTTACTTTAATTTATATTTAATCTGTAAGAGGGGGCTTATAATAGGTAAAACTTTAAAACCATAGTTTGGAACTTGGAACTAAGTAAAAAAATGTGTGTTGAAGTGTTATTTCCATTGTTTTTAAGGTTTTTTGAATGATTTATTTTATTTTTGATTGCGTCTTTGAGATTTTTTCTCATATGGATTTTTTAAAGTATTCTAACGTTTTGAGAAAACTTGATTAACTTGGTAGAGGAAAAAAACATTAGTAACATGGAATCAAGGCTTTTGTAAGTATGTTAATAATTTTTCTGCTATCAAACTTGTACAACACATTTTTTAGAGTTTTTTTAACTAATATTTAACGGGGGCCTGGTTTTTAGACTCCTATTATAGGCCCCGCCTTATATTTCCATTTTATTATACTTAAATAGTATATTCTAAGATAATGTTTAGGTTGATGTGACTTCAGAAGGGTCTGGAGATGGTCAATGGTCACAAGGACTTATTTCTGCTGTTAGTTTTGTTTTTGCATTTAAATTAATATTTAAATATCTGATGTTATGTTTTATGTTTATAACTTTGGATGTGGTGTTCCTTAGGCTCGCCTTGTAGCTGCTGCTACAGGCTCTCTGTGTGAAGCTGCAAATGCTGCAGTACAAGGAAACGCTAGTGAAGAAAAACTTGTAGCTAGTGCAAAAGCAGTAGCAAACTCAACTGCTCAACTTTTACTTGCTTGTCGCGTTAAAGCTGATCCAAATAGTAAATCACAAAAGGGTTTACAAGTAAATTTAATTATCCTATATTTTTTATGTAATTAAGTAGTTACAACTTTTTTTTTTCTTATATATAATTTTAATTAATATTAGCTTATTTATTAATTTATAAATATTTAATTGTTTATAAGTATTTTTACTTTCACTAACTACTTCAGTTTCTATGTTTGAAACATTTTTAGATTTACTTTTAAAATTAACCCTTTTATGTTTTAGACTGCAGGTGCAGCTGTCAAGCGTGCTGCTGATACTTTAGTCAAAGCTGCCCAAGGTTCAGCTATGTTCCATTATGAGGAAGTTGAGGTCAATGTCAGTAAATCACTAACTGGAGGTTTCAAACAAGAGTTAGAAATTCAAGAAGAAATTTTACGAAAAGAACGTGAACTTGAGATAGCTCGCTCTAAACTTCACATTATACGTAAAGAACGTTACAGACCTGATGAAGAGGATTAATGAGCATAACAGAAATAAAGTTATAAAGAGTTCAGAGGAAAAAGAGATTACTGTCCAGATAGCAAGAATTGACCAAACATTTGAGCAAACTTTATAAGCAGACATATTTTATATTTAATTAAACTCAAGTCTTCTTCAAGACTTGTTGACATCAAAAATAAGATAAAAGATTAAGTTTTTTAATCGACTTGCTTAACCTTTTTAGATTCTTACTTTTCCTTGTAAATAAAACATGATTCATTTTGTTCTTAAAATTTTTTTTTTTCCAAATTTTTAACTTAAATTAGATTTGATATTTAAATTTTTATTTGCATGTTGTAGTATTTTTTACGTTGTAGCTTTTTTTTTTTTTTTTAAATATCTTGATGAAAGAAAGGAATTTTCATTTTATAACCTGGTTTAATTTTTTGTAGTTCACAAGTTCCTTAATGAAGTGCCTATTATGAGTCCTCTCTAAATAACTAATATATATTTCATTGTTATATTGTCTTTGATAAGTATATATATATATATATATATATATATATATATATATATATATATATATATATATATATATATATATATATATATTTTATTTATATATAGGTTTATGCAGTAACATCCACTGATGAAGATGGCCAATGGTCTCAGGGTCTCATCTCTGCTGTATGTAATAATTTTTTTTTTTAATTTTAGTGTTTTGGAAACTAAAAAACTTTATAAAATTGTTTTGTAAAATATTTTTTTATCTCAATTAAAATATAAAGATGACTTGTTATAATCATTACTATAAAAAAATATAATATTGAATTTTAAAAGATAAGGTCCACTGAATTTAATTTTAGATTACTAACTTGTGCATTTTATAGAAATGTTAAAGCTTTTTTTCTCATACCTTAAAAAGTTCACAAATGATTTTTTTTTTTTAAAAGTATGTTAATATGGATTTCATTCAAATTACGATAATATGGATTTCAAAGTATGATAATATGGTAAAATTGAATAACTATTTTTGAAAATTTTCAAAAAGTTTACAAAAATTATTAGTTTCATAATTTTCTCAAAATGCTTTATGAGTTGATTTTAGGAAAATAATACAGCTAAATTATATTCTGACTTTTAATTTAGTTGAATATAACTGTTTCTTGTGATCTTTTATGACCACAAATTATGATTCATGTTTCTTTCTGGATAACTGTTTCTTGTGATCTTATTTTAGAGTTAAAACTGTGATTAATTTTTATTTTCGTTTCATTTTTAGCTAGTATTTAGCTTCACAACTTTTTGCAATTATACCAATAAAGTTAAAAACTATTTATAAAAATTTATTTGAAAAATACCATTTTTCAAAGACAACATATATCATATAAATATATAATATATATTATATAAATATGTAATATATATGATATAAATATACAATATATATGATATAGATATATAACATAGTATAGTATAATATAATAAGCTGGAGCACATTTAAATAGCAGTTTGAATAACGTGGAGCGCATCAACAGTAGATGATGCCCTGTGGCAGTTTAGGTAACTAATTATTATACATGTCATTTGGTAAATCACTCTGTGTTAAACTGGTTCTGAAAAGATCAGTTAATAATGTTGTCTAATAAGTTTGGAGTTTACTTATATTGCTGTTGACATCATCTAAATTTATTTGTGAAATTAGTTTAGTGTTAACATAATTTTAGATAGGACAGAGAGATTATTGGGAAAGTCATTGATATAAGTTATGAATAATACAGGACCAAGTACAGAGCCTGTATTATTCATAAGTTGTGGAAGTTGTGAAACTCCGCTAACATCATCAGTCTATTTCAAAACTGGTTCACCAAGAACTAAACGTTGCGTTTGGTTAAATAGGAAAGAGTTTAGCCATTTGTAAATTTTGCCTTGGATTTCATTTTTAAATATCTATCTAAGAATCTTTAGTGATGGACTTTGTCAATGATTTTAGCAAAGTCAAGAAAGATTATATATTATATCAACCAGTTTGTTGTTTGAAATGGATTCAGTTGCAAAGTTTAATGTTTCTGGGAGGTTTATTACGCAACCCTTGTTATTAACAACCATATTGATTTGGATTTGTTAGTTTATTTGTATTTTGGTGATCTATTATAGATTTTTTTAATTATACGTTCCATTACCTTGCGTGCCACTGTTGTGAGAGATTGGTCTGTAATTTGTTAGATCGATTTTATTTACTTTATTAAAAAGTGGTGTAATGTTGGCACAGGACCATTTGTTAGAGTTCCAGAATCAAGGGATAATAAAAAAAATAGCGCGTGGTAAATACCAAGATATAGACCACTCTCAATGTACATGTAGACAAACTCCATCTGTTTTAATTGATTTGTTAGTGTTTAAATTAAGTACAAATTTTTATACAGTTATTGTTGTAAATATAAGATTGTAATTTGGTAGGGGATCACATATATTCTTTTGTGGAAACACTGAGCTAAATTGCTTGTTAAGAGTGTTTCGTAATTTTGATTTTGTTAGTTATACTTTGTTTTGTAAAATTACCATATAGCCGTATATGATATAATAGTATATGCATGATATAAATACATAACATATATAATATAAAAATATGATATGTATGATATAAATATAAAATGTATATGATAATATATAATACAAGTTATTTTTATAGTAAGTTTTTTTTTAAAGGTCACAAAATGTAATTAGATAATTAATTTAATTCAAGATTAAGTATTGGTTGCAACTATAGGTTAATTTTTTTTTTTTTTTGACAATTTTGTAATTGTTGCTCTTATAAATGCTGCATATATGTATTTTCTGAATGATTCAAATTTTTTATTTATTTTTTAACTTTTTACTATAAAACTAAATTAACAAATTTAAAAGAACTTAAATAATTAATTTTTTAAATATATGTTTAATATAGGCAAATACTGTTGTTGGAACCATTCTTCAACTGTGTGAGACAGCAAATGCAGCTGTTCAAGGCAATGCAACAGAAGAAAGAATTATTGCTGTAGCAAAAGGTGTAGCTAGCTCTACTGCACAATTGCTACTGGCTTGTCGTGTGAAAGCTGATCCCAATAGTAAAGCTCAACGAAATTTACAAGTATAATTGATTTATTTTTAAAAAATTTAAATTAGTTTTATTACTTAAAAACAGAGTGAGTTTTATAATAATTTTAAATAACATCAGTTACAGCAATTATAACATTTAATTACATATTATGCTAACAAGTTTTTTTAACAACTTAGCATATTCTTAACGAGCATTTGTTTTTTTCTATTCAAGATAAGTTCTATACGTCTTTAATACGTTTTTTAGACGTCCTCTAATCGTTCCAAAGTTTAGAACGTTTAAAAGACATTTAAAAGACGTTTAGAACGTTACTTTTAAAAACTAATGACCGTTGTATTACGTTAAAACAACGTGTTGAAAGATTTGTTTTATGACATGAAATTATGATTATGAAATATTTGTTTTATTTTACTTGTTAAATGTTGTTTATAAAGCGTATTTTTATAGATTCCTTAATTTTGTAATATATTTTGTGTTTTAGTTATATTTTAAATGTAAATACAGTAAGTTTTTTTAATAACGTTTCTTATTTATAGATTGCTGGTAATGATGTTAAACGAGCTACGGAAATCCTTGTAAATGCTGCAAAATCAGATAACACAGAAGTTATTTCAGTAACCGTCAGTCAACGCAAAATGACGGGAATACGTCAAGAAAGAGAGGCAGAGAATGAAGTACTTAAAATTGAACGAGAACTCGAGGAAGCTCGACAAAGACTCGCTCAGTCAAGAAAAGCGCAATATAAGAAGTAAAATTTAATAGACTCGCCCAACCATAAAATTCGGTACAAGCTTGTCCGATAATGAAAATCGCAATAAAAAAGATCTAATTAAAATAAAAGTATAATACTTTTTTTTATTTTAAAGACTTGCATCACTAGTTTGTTTGAAAACACGGAGAAGAAATATTGGTTGGTTACACGGTTCTGTAAAATAAATTAAATTTTGAAGAAAATTATAAAATGTTCTAAAACATCAACTTTAAAAGAAAACGTTTTCTTTCTCTAAGATGATTATTTTATAGACAGCTAAACTTATTTACCCAAATATTTTATTATCTGGATATTTTATAAATGCATTAGTTTTATCAACAGCTATGTATAATATTATTATTCTTTTCTTTTTTTTTTCTCTCTCTCCCTTTTTTTCCTGCACAGTGAAATTTTAAATTCTATTAAAAGTATACTATTTCAGGTTTCAATTTTTTATATTATTATTTATGCGTGCAAATAAAAACGTTTAATTTATCGACTTAATACGTTTGTATAATTTTGTAACTTCTTTGCGATCGCAAACGATATTATGGTTGTACATCAATTTTTAACTAAATGTAATTTTCTTTTAACAATTAAAAGATGATTAAAGAATTTTTCTTCTTGGTAACTGAAAATTGTCTAAATTACTCGGAAATTATTTATCGCTACAATTTTTTTCTTTGGTTAAATATATATTGGCTTATGCATATATAACCATTTTATATATTAAAAAAATGGTTATATTACGTTATACACTCTAAAAAACCATGTGTCGCTTGATCTTGTGTTGCTTTTCACTTAACACAAGTTAATGTTAAATTTTATTAAAATCGTTCTAAAGCGCGTGCGTTAAATGCAAATTCTACTTTCTTGATGACACAAAAAGTTTTTCAAAAAACGCATGCCTTAAAACAATTAAAAATGGAGTTTTGAAAAGTAGTTATTTTAAATTAAAATTTTGAATAACTTGAAAATTGTGTATATTTTTTAACTTTTTCGTTTGTGTTTTTTACTTGTAACATTCTCATCAATATTAGAGTAAACAATGGGTTACTCATTAAAGACTGTAAGTGATCTTTTAAAACATTTTCATTATCGCCATGGTATTTCTTCAACACAAAATTGTAGAATTGTTTGCAGACAAGGTGGTTGTTGCAGAACATATGATAGTGTCCATGCCCTTAAAATTCATATATATAGAAAGGATCCAAGTGATCCTTATATTGAATATGAAAGTAAAAATATTTCTCCTGTAAAAAGTAATAGCAAGCTAATTGATCAGCAAAGTATTTATACAGCAGCACATATTGATAATGATAATAGTAATATTTATTCAAGTGAAGTATATGGGGAAAATATAAAAGAAATGATTTTAGATGTTTTAATGACTCTCAGATGTCGTAACACAAGTGAAGTTGTAATTCAGTATGTCGGAAAAAGTATTCAGAATATTTTATCCACAGCAATTGAAAGTGTACAAAAAACAATTCTCAATGAAACTGACACTGGTGCAGTAAATGATGCTCTAAATGATATTGAGTGTGTAAAATGTACTTTAATTACATCTACACCTTTTCTGGATCAATTTAAAAGGAATACGAATCAATTTAAAAGGAATACGAATCAGTTTAAAAGAAATACTAATTTAAATTGATTCGCACTCCTGTTAAATTGATTCGTATTTCTTTTAAATTGATTCGTATTTCTTTTAAATTGATCCATAAAAGGTGTAGATGTAATTATTACATTATTACTTACATCTATATTTATTATTTTCTTATAATTTAACTTTTTTTATAATTTATTGTTACATAATATATTATTATATTTTATTTAACTTATATTTCCATTTTTCCACTTTTTTTTAATTTTCAAGTTGTATAAATATTTCATGTGAGTGTTTAAATAAAAGTTTAATATGGTTGCTAAGAGATTTTGTTCTAGTTGCAATATACAGCTTTATACTTTTTGACTAGTTGATGAACTAAAAAACTAGTCTATTGGTTTTTTCTATTAGGTTGTGTCAATATTGGATGAAATTGAAAATCACCCTTTTAAAAATAATATTATTATTGAGGCACAAAACACTGTAATGAATGATCGCTTGCATCGTCTCCTTGTTAAATTAGCTTGCTCTTGTTTAATTAATTGCTTTGGAAAGTTTTATATTAATATTCATATGTATATATAATTACAATACAGGATTATGTTATTATATGTTATTATCGCGACATTAGAATTATCTTGTTCTATCTCCGCATTTTTTAGTTTTGAGATAAAACGATTTAAAAAATAAAAACTTTAGGAGACGGCGAATAAACTTTTTTTATAACTTATGTTTTTTCCGCAACTTTTTTACTTATAACTTAGATTTCAATTCAGTAGAAAGACATTATTTTGAGGAACACAACACTATCATTAACTCAATTTTTTCAGAAAGTGGAGATAGAACAAGATAATTCTAACGTCGCGATATATATATATATATATATATATATATATATATATATATATATATATATATATATATATATATATATATATATATATATATATATATATATATATCACGAGAGCAGAGAAAAGCTCTCCTATAACAAACTTGGGGAGCTGTGCGAGCTGCTCCTCATTTAAATCGGCGCTCTTTTTTAATTCTAATTCTTTTTTTGCAACAACCCTGCCTTTTAAAAAGCATTTCAGTATATTATGCAATTAATTTTTTGTAAATGACATTGTCTTTTTTATTTTATTGAAAATGATAATTATACTTTTATGAGAAAAATTATACTTTTGAGAGAACTGTAAATAGCTCTCGTAAACCGTTTCAGGGGAGTGTGGGTGAGAGCTAATATACAGGTCTGTATATATATATATATATATATATATATATATATATATATATATATATATATATATATATATATATATATATATATATATATATATATATATTTAAACTGCATTATGTTTTTCAGCTATTCTCCACCAGAGCATCAATTAACCATGGCAAAAAGTAGGGTTTCAACTTTTAAGCTTTGAGCATGTCGAAGTGGAAATGGATATGTAAGTTGTTTGTTTGTTTTTTCAAAACTAAGTTCTATACTATTATTATGGACTCTACTATACTATACTATTATACTATTATTATGGACTCTAATATGTAATAACCAGCATTTAAGAATCACTGCACCAAGTTTACATGAGTTAATTCTAATTTTTATGTCTCAACAATTTATCTTCTTGCAGTATTATTAATGCAATTCATTGTGATGATGATTTTAAGATTTGTTTGTTTTTTATTAGTTCGTTTATTAGTGAACAAAACCTAATAATATTATATGATTGATTTTAATAAGTTTCTTTATTGCCTTCTAATAATAGATAGAATTTTTTTTTTTAAATAGGAATTATCCTACTGTCCAGATACAAATCACTTTTATACAGACAAATGTGGATTTGAAATGATTTGCCAGCAGCTAATAGGATACTTGAGGAATTTCCACGATTTTTGGACACTCCATTGTTGGTAAAAATTTATGGAGGCGTTTTTATAATTTAAATTTTTACATATATAAAATGTTTTTTTTTTAACATTTGTTTGTTCTATTCAGTTAGATGATGAGTTCAAATCAATTAATCAAAATTATGCAGAAATTATTCCAGTTTTATTAGAAACAACAATTTCGAAGCAAATAATTGCATACTGCAAGCTGACTGGCAAACGCATTGACATTATAGGTGAGACAGATACTGAAGGGAATACTCTATCAAATAAGTAAATATTCTTTAGATAATCTCAAACGAAAAAGTTACATTTAATAAATCTTATTTAATAAATCTTGCCAACTACGGGAAAATATCTTGTTTCAGCAAGTGCAGCAATGGTTTTCCTAATCGAAGATCTAAAGGTATGATTCATTTTAAAATCTCGTTAGTTTCTTTAATAAATAATATACCAATAGTATGACAATAGTTTTTAAGAAGTATAAAATTCAATTATACTAACAAGTTTTTAATCGTCTATCTCTAGTTATTTTATTTGTGATAAATTTTTGTTCGATTTGATTTACTTAAAAAAATTTTTCAAACTTTTTTTTAGGGTAGCGAGACTCTTGAAATGTTTTTTAATTGCTCAAATCCAAAACAGCATCTATTCATTTTATCGTGTGGACTGTCTTTTTTCGTTGATAGAAAAGTAATTGTAGTTAAACCTCCAAAATTTTCTGTTGCCTTTGACTTGGCATATATATACTTGTTCTAATGGTTCAAATGTCGCCATTTTTAGTAATGCATCATCTTCAAGTATAATGAAAAAAAAAAAGACTTGGAGCTTTCAATCTAAGTCTTGATAATACTGAATAGTGTTTGGTTTATGTCTTTTAGTAAGTTTCGATTGTTTAAAAACTTGTTTTTTTGGGGAGGTAACTATTTGTATATTAAAGAAAAGAGGCATAATTCTATCAAACTTTAAATATACATAAAATCAATTATTTTATAAAATCAAATACAAACGATGGTTCTGTAGTTTATAAAGCTAAAAAATCAAAAAAGCCAAAATTTTCAAAATGTGACCCTGCCGTTTCTTCCCGTGGAGTCTTCACACGCACACACACACACACACACACGCACACACACACACACGCACACGCACACACACACATATATACATATATATATATATATATATATATATATATATATATATATATATATATATATATATATAAATTTATATATATGAATATATATATATATATATATATATATATATATATATATATATATATATATATATATATATATATATATATATATATATATATATATATATATATATATATATATATATATATAATTGCGGTTTTTTAAAAAATTTTTAAAAAACCGCAATTATAACGACTAGAAAGTTTTTTGTTATTAGTGATGTTTTTGTTTTTATTTTATTAAAAAACATTTTTAAAACATGCGTAAATGTTGCTACTTCGACTATCTTATAGCCTGACTCGCAACGGAGTGCTGCTACATCGACTGACAAATAGCCTGACTCGCAACGGAGTGCTGCTACATTGACTGAGGGTTTGGTTTGGGCAGGCAGTCTATCATTTAGATATTTGAGTTTTGAGCATTAAACGGAGCACACGTGTTTACGAAGAAAGATATTTTTTTACATATTTGACTTTTATTTTTTGATTATTTTTATGGAGATTGAAAGAGTAGTAGCTTAACTATTGTGAATATTGTGGTTGGTGATTATTGTGGTTGATTGTGAATATTGTGGTTGGTGAAATTATATAAAGTAATATAATAAGAAATCAATCTACTTTTATACATTTATACATTTAAAATACAAAAATACATTTAAAATACAAAAATAAAAAAAATACATCTACTGATATACATTTAAAATGGCAGTAACACTTGTGGAAATCAAAAAAATGATAAAAGACTTGTTTACAAACAGTGGCGGAACTTCAAAATTTGGGCCCCCCCGCAAAAGAATGTTTTTTTTGCGGAAAAGAGTTTTATAGTATAAATATTATTGAGAGTATAACTTTTTTTATATGAGGGCTCCCTATAGCTGGTAGGCCCCCCCGCAACGCAGGGTCCTGCGTCCAGTAGTTCCGCCACTGTTTACAAAATACAAAGTGGAAACAGAAGCTGCGCTAAAGCAACAAGAAAACAACTTTATAAACATCGTTAGTGCAAACACCAAAATCTTAAACGAGAGATTGGACAAAGTAGAAAAAAATATTTTAGAAAACGCAAAAAAAATATCAACACTTGCAACAGAAGTTGAAGAAATAAAAGTTACTTTAAATTTTCATGAGGAACTCATTGAAAACAAAATTAAAACTGCGTTAGATTCTTTCATAAAAAATAAATCTACTCACAACGAAATTCAAAATAACAACATTGAACTCAAAAAAATAAACAGCAAGCTAAGAGAAATAGAAGATAGATCAAGAAGGAACAATCTAAGAGTTGAAGGAGTTAAAGAAGATGATAATGAAAGCTGGCTAGAAAGCGAAAAGTTAAAAAAATTATTTGATGAGTACTTGGGCATAAAAGATGTAAAAATTGAAAGAGCGCATAGAGCTGATAAAGAAGATATAAAAAAGCACAGAACAATTGTTGTGAAATTATTGGATTTTAAAGATAAAGAAGCAATTTTAAAAAACTCTTCAAAATTAAAAGGAAAGAATATTTTTATCAATGAAGATTTTTGCGCGGAGACAAATCGAATAAGAAAAGACTTGCGAGAGAAAATGAAAATTGAAAGACAATTGGGAAAATTTGCATATATTTCCTACGACAAGCTTATTGTACGCGAGTGGAATGCAAAAAAAAAGTGGAATGCAAAAAAAAGTGAATGGAATGCGAGTGGAATGCAAAAAAAAAATTTTTTTTTTTAATTTTATTTATTTGTTTACATTATATTTAAATATACGTTATATGCTAAAGTGGTATGCAATAAATTAATCACTAAGTCTTCCTAAAAGACTTTCAACATGTCGCACACTATTATTTACTGCCAAATCTAAATTATAGCGAAAATAGAAACAAATAATAATGATTTTGAAAAAATAATTAATTTATTTGAAACCCATGCATTACACTTAGACGACGAATCCGATCCGGATATTAATTATTTTAATGAAATTAATTCTCCTGAAATTGAAACCTCTTATTTTAATCCTAGTAACGTGAGCAAAATTTTAAAAAGCGAAAATAAAAGTGATTATCTTAATGCAGTCCACATTAATATACGTAGCTTAAAAAAGAATTTTGAAAACTTATCAAATTTTATTAGCGAAGCGGAAAGTTCTTTTAATTTAATTTGTTTAACTGAAACCTGGTGTTTACATGCAGATTTTAAAAATAACTCAAATCTCCATCTCCCAGGTTTTGATCCAGTAATTTTAGAACGAAGTACAAATAAGCGAGGAGGAGGAGTTTTATTTTTTGTTAAAAATGACCTTCTACATAAAGTTCGAAGCGAAATGTGTGTTTCTGATGAAAACAAAGAGATTTTAACAATAGAACTTATAAATAAGCGTTCAAAAAATATACTAATAAGCTGTTGTTACAGGCCACCAACTGGAAGAATTGAAAACTTTGGCAATTTCTTACTAAATAACATAATAAAGAAAACTGATCTTGAAAAGAAAAAAAATTACTTGATCGGGGATTTCAGGGATTGCCTAAAACGCCGAATTCTAAAACGCCGAAAAGCCGAAATGCCGAAAAACCATCTTAGAGTAACAGAATAAAAAACGGAATGAAAGCAATGAATTACTGGTAGTCAACCCCCGCGTTATTAATGTTTAAATTATTGTTTTAAATTTAAAAAAATTAAAAACATGTAAAATTAAAAAATAAAATGCAGCAGTAAATTTTTTTTAAAAAGACAGAACCAAAAGCCAAATTTGGCTTTGGCTTTTGTCCTTTTAAACTTTGCATTTACAAATGCGCAAAAAAAAATCCGGGGGGTATTTAACTTTTCGTTGTCTTTTTTGACGGTTACCGAATTCTATTATTACGCCATTTTTTTCGGCATTTCGGCTTTTCGGCGTTTTAGAATTCGGCGTTTTAGGCGATCCCGGGATTTCAACATAAACTCCTTTGATTATTATGAAAATCAAAATTCGAGAAAATTTTTTAATGGTTTATTTGAAACTGGAACAATACCTTTAATTAATCGCCCGACTAGAATCACAAGTCATTCATCATCATTAATTGATAACATTTTAACAACCGATTTTTTTAAAAAGTCGCTAAAAAAGGGAATTATAAAAACCGATGTTTCCGATCACTTCCCGGTTTTTTTTTCTATATGTGTTAATTTAAAAAAAGAGAAGCAGGGAAAGTTATTAATAAAAAAACGGCTTATCAACAATAATAATTTAAATTCTTTCAGAGAACAATTATCACATATAGATTGGGGTTATATTAATTTTAATGATAATATCAGCATAATCTACGACAATTTTTTCAAAACTTTTTACCAAGTGTATGATTCCAACTTTAAGCGATAAAGAAATGTCATCTCCCTGGATTACTAAAGGTATCAGAAAATCATCAAAAATTAAGCAGAAGCTATACATTATATACCTAAAATCAAAATCAGAAAAACATAAACAAAATTATAAAACTTATAAAAACTTATTTGAAAAGCTTCGCAAAAATGCAAAAAAAAAACTACTATTCAAACTTGCTTAATAAATATAAGCACAACTCAAAACGCGTCTGGCAAATCATAAAGGAGGTGTCTGGAAAACTTAAACCAAATAAAAATTTACTCCCAAATTTTATACAAATTGAAAACAAATTAATAAATGACCCAAATGATATTGCATTTGAATTTAACAAGTTTTTCTCCACTGTCGGGACAAAACTAAGCGATAGTATTTCATTCATTAAAGATAAATCTGTTGACGAGTTCGAAACATCAATAAGTCTAAATCTAAATTTTACTGAGTTAGCTTTTAATGAATTTGAGGTTGCTTTTAAGTCATTAAAACGAAATAAAGCTACTGGGTATGATGATATTAACACAAATATTGTGATTGATTCATACGATGTTATAAAAGATATTCTTTATAAAATCTTCAGAGCATCCATTTCACAAGGGTCTAAAATAGCGAAAAACTAAAAATAGCGAAAGTAACTCCAATCTTCAAGACAGGGGATCGTACAAATATAACAAATTATCGCCCTATTTCAGTTCTTCCAGTTTTTTCAAAAATTTTAGAAAGAATAATGTACAACCGAATCTACTCTTATCTTGTTGAAAATAAAATTCTATACGAAAACTAATTTGGTTTCAAAAAAAATAATTCAACCGAGCATGCCATTCTTCAACTTACGCGCAATATAACCGACTCATTTAAAGACTCTTGTTTTACACTAGGAGTGTTTATTGATTTGTCCAAGGCATTTGATACCGTCAATCATCAAATCCTGTTAAAAAAACTAATATCATATGGTATTAAAGATAAAACCCTATTATGGTTTGAAAGTTATCTTACTAACCGTAAACAGTTTGTTTACAATAAAGATTCTATATCTCATCTATTAATGAATATAACATGTGGTGTTCCACAAGGATCGATACTTGGTCCTCTTATTTTTTTAATATACATAAATGATCTTCATAAATCATCAAATTTAACAACAATAAATTTTGCAGATGACACAAATTTGTTTTTGTCTCATAAAGATGTTAATATGGTTTTTACGAATATGACAAATGAATTAAAAAAAGTTTCTGTTTGGTTTAAACAAAATAGATTGTCTCTAAATATAGAAAAAACTAAATGGACACTTTTTTATCCACCTTTAAAATACCAGAAACTGCCCCATATCATGCCAGACCTTCTAATTGATAATATAATAATAAAAAGAGAAAAAGTTACTAAATTTCTTGGAGTATATATTGATGAAAACCTATCTTGGAGAAATCATATTGATAATACCTCCAACAAAATTGCTAAATGCATCGGAAATCTCTATAAAGCAAGAAATATACTAAGTAAACACCAGTTAACACAATTATATTATTCATTTATACATTATCATATAAACTACGCGAATATTATATGGGGAAGCACTCAC